CCGCGCGAGAGTGTGTTTGTGTGTCGCGGGCACGAGCAAGTCAATCGCGACAGCGCGAGCCAAGAGAAAGAAATGAAATAATGCATCGAAACGAAATGAAACAGTGCGGTCGGCTCGAGGCTTGCGGCGCCGTGACGGGCGCTACGTCTTGCAGGGACGGCGACGGCGCAATGCGCGTCGCGGTGCCGGTGCCTTCGTCGCCCCGTCTCTCTCGCACTCGTGCGGCGTCCCGTCTGAGTGCGAGAGAGACGGCGCAGGCACACTGTTCGGAACGGCAGCAGCGCGGCTGCGTTTTTACGTCCTCGCGGCCGCCGCCAAGCTTTCGGCGCCCCGTTCACGGCACTGCAACCCGCGGGCCTGGGCCTGCCGCGCCCTGCATGCCGTCGACGAACGCTTTACTGCGACATCGAGCCGTCTGGACGGTACGGCGGCTATGGCCGGTGCGGCCCGACCGAGCCTCTTGTTTGCCAAGTCGCTTTCGTCGCTCTGTCTCTCTCGCAGTCATGGGGCTTGCCGTAGAGGTGCGAAAGAGACAGAGAGCGATGAAACGGCTCTCGGAATCGGTCTACTGCCGAGAGCGGCGTGGAGAACGCAAAGTGGGCCTCGGCCGGGGACCACGGGGACCGAGGACCGACAACAAGAAAGCTTTCATTCAGCATCGCGGCTTCGGCGATGAGGACGAGGATGCCGAGTGCGGCGGAGGTGCGGCTGGCTGCTGCGGTGCGCCGGGTGACTCGGTGACGCAACGAGACCACCAAACCAAAACAACACAAGTTTGGCTCGGGGAGCCGTCGCAGGGGACCTGTTCCTTCCTTCCTTCCTTCCTGCCGTCCCTTTTACCCACGTAACCTCAATGGATTAGGGAGTAAGGGCTTTTAATTCGAAATGCGGAGCGGGCGGCGTCACCGCAACGACGCGGGCCAGACGCCGGTCGCGGCCCCGCATCTCCCTGCTGTCAAACGTAAGAAGAAAGGGCTCTCGGAATAAAAATAAAGTACACGTCACCCTTGCAAAACAGCATCTTTATTGGTGCAGGTGAGAGGGAGCGTCCCCGAAATTGCATACGATCATGTGTGGTCCAGCCCTTAACGGTAATGGTCAGGGGCAAGCGCCCCAAGGCGGGCATCCCCTTCGCCGCGCGCGCGTTGCTGTTGCCTACCCGGGGATCCGCGGGCGCGTGGCGTGGGCTTGGCTTGCTTGCCTCACGCCGCCGCCACCGCGCCTCCACCTCCGCCTCTGGGCCTGGGCTGGAACACCACCTTGACGCCCCCCACCAGCCTGCTCGCCAGGTCGAAGGACATGTTGTCCAGGAGGCTCTGCACGTCCTTGTGGCCGTGCGCGGGCAGCACCCTGAAGGCGCGGACGATGGTGGCGAGGAAGGTGGTGGCCACCATCATGGCGTACTTGGCGCCGATGCAGTTGCGGCTGCCGATGCTGAACGGGACGTAGGCGCAGTGGTGGCGGCCCTGGCTGTTCTCGGGCAGGAAGCGGTCCGGGTCGAAGGCGAGCGGGTCGCGCCAGTGCTGCGGGTCCAAGTGCACGCCCTGGATGTTGAGCACGACGGTGCTGTTGGCCGGGATGACGTGGCCGCACAGCCTGGTCTCCCGGTAGCACTGCCGCCCCACGAACACGATCGGCGGGAACAGGCGCAGCACCTCCTTCACCACGCAGTCCAGGTACTTGAGCCTGGAGGGGCGGAGGCAGAACCACATCAGTAACTCGCCCAGAAGAGGGCGGCCCGGTATTTGAATACCCAACAACAAGAAAGTTCTGTGACCAAGAATCCAGCCCAAAAAGTTCTAGAGAAAAACACTTGCGCTGTGTCTACTTCCACTTACTGGGGCAGGTCCTCGGCGGTGACGTCCCTGTTCCCGAGCACGGCGTCCACCTCGAAGAACAGCCGCTCCTGCAGCTTGGGGTGCAGGGACAGTACGGCCAAGGTCCAGCTGAGTGTGGACACCGTGGTCTCCACGCTGGCGCCGAAGAAGGTCTTCACCTCGTCCACGATGTCGTCCTCCGGGATCTCGGCCCTGTGGTGCATGTCCACCAGGATGTCCGCGAGGGCCCTCCGCCGCCTGGCAGTGTGCTCGCCGTCCTTGCCTCGCCGCTTCACCTCGTCCTGCTTGACGGCGAGGGCCTTCCTGACGAGAGCGTGCAGGGCCTCCTTCATCCGCGAGACCTTCTTGCCCGACGCCGTCATGCGGAACAGGCGCTCGGACCACAGCAGGGGGTTGAAGGAGCGCTGGTTGACGGTGCGGAGGAACGCCTCGAAGAACTCGACGAACGGCATGGCCTGCTCCTCCATGTCGGCGCTGATGGAGGTGCGGAGGAAGTTCCTGGAGGTGGCCAGCCTCAGGGCCTGCAGCACGTCCACGGGCGCGTCGGTGGGCACGCGCTCCACGAAGCCCTTGGCCTCGGCGTAGAAGGTCCCCACGAAGCGGTTCAGCACGCTCTTGCTGAAGCCGGGCTCCAGGGCGCGCCGGCGCGCGCGCCACTCGGTGCCGTTGAGCTGCAGCAGGCTGCGCCGGTCGTCGAGCAGGTGGTACACGAAGTGCGACTTGCTGTTGAACTCGGAGCGGCGCACCACGCACTCGAAGTCCTCCGGACTGCTGACGAACACCATCAGGTGGTTCATGAAGGAGAAGCGGCTCAGCTCGCGGCGGCCGCCGATCATGCGCTTGATGGTCTGCAGCACGGTGTCCGGGGTCACGCTCACGAAGTCCAGGGTGTTGCCGAGGAGCGGCAGCGACGGCGGCCCGGGGATGGCCAGCTCCAGCCGCCGGAAGTGGAAGTACTGCCGCAGCAACAGCGCCAGCAGTGTGGTGACGCCGGCCACGGCGGCCGTCGCCAGCGTCTCGGTCACGAGGCCCATGGCGAGGCGGCGCGGCGCAGCGGCGCGGCGCGAGGCGCAGAGTGAACGCCCCGGCGCAGAGCGAGCGCCTGTATATGCAGTTGGTGCTTTTACCTCAGGACGGTATGGTAGAAATACGATTATTTTATGCAGTGCACTGGAAGCGTCTCCGTCTCCCTCCCCCCCGCCCGCATGCCGCTTCTTTCCCCGTCCTTTGTCTTCTCGCCTCTTTGCACTGACAGCATCATTGATGAGGATGGAGGCAGTAGCCATAACTATTTTCTTTTCAGCTTCAAGCAACGTCTTGTCAAAACCTTCTCTGACTGTTGCGGCTGTGATCGAAAGCACTGTTGATGTGTAAGGTACGCTGGGAGCTCGCGACGGAAAAAGATAGTTGGCTCGCGTAGCTAACCTCTCCGTTCCAAAGTCGTTTCTCTACGAACAAAATATGACTATGGATACTATAAACAATAGTACAATTTTTTTCCGTAGGTTTTTTTGTCATCCTTGAGTCGGCTCCCGAATGTCTTTTCACGTGCGCGCTCGTGCGTTGGCAACACGTCAGTCCCCAGCCATGGGGGAAGTCCAGCCACACATTTTGCCTACCTACAGGCGTAAGTTGTTCGAAAGGTAGATGGTGGGAGAAGGAAGAGAAGAGAAAATAAATAGTCTGAAGGTGAAAGCACTTTAATGTTAATCAAGACAGTAGTAACGGAATTAGTCCCTGCTGAACATTTCATTTTACCTTAGTATACATTAAATAAATGCAGGCTGTTAGAATGTTGAATGGCAATATATAAAAGTATTGTAATTACATTTAAAGGGTTACATGTTTGTATTATCACAGATGTCAAGAAAATTGCATTGGTTCATATTAATCACAAAAAGAAAAAAAGTATTCACAGGAGCAATGCAAGACAGTATTTCATCATAAAAGGATTAACACACTTGCATAAAAAAAGCATGATGAAAATTTAGGTAAATGTAAAAATAGTAATCTCAAAAGTATCCTTCACGAAACAAATATTGAGGTATTTATAGCATAGCATGACACAGGGGGCACTCTTTCTCTAATAGCCATCCAAACGGCTGAGGGCCAGCCATCCCAAATAAACAGTGTCTTCTTGGTTGCTGACTTCGGCTCCCACTTCCAGAACAACTCCATTCACCTCAACCGAAAAATGTCTGAAAAAAAATACAAATAGATTAATTCTCTATAAAAATCAGCACAGAAAAAAATAGTTTCGAAGAAAGGGGAAACATAAAACTCAGAATACCTTATATCCCAGCCGTTGGAGCCCTCAACACTCAGTTGCTTCTGAGTGCACCTGTCAACAGCTGCTCCTCGAAGTTGGTCGATTTCTCCCTGCATTAATGGACGATGCAGGCGAACTGCACACTCCTGAGCATAATCTCCTTCACCGCCTTGCTCTGCTCCAATTAAAACGTGTTTTCTAAGACAACAATAGAAAATGTTTAAACAAGTTAAGGTTTCTCACATGGTTATAGAGTTATAAGCATAAGATAATACCTGTAACAATTGTCCCTGTCTTGCACCAACATAGTGAGATTCAGACAAGGAAGAGTAATAACAGATGGTGATGCAACTTTGGTGGCACATGATACTATCAACATTCCAGAGCTTCTGAATCCACACACAAGCATTCTGTAAAACAACAGGCACACATATTAGACTTAAAATAAAACAAATTCTTCTTTATTTTAAAATTTTGCAAGCTTTGTGTACTAATTATACTGTACCTCTTCATGCTGTAACTTCCAGGGCCTCCAATTTTCAGACATCCTCCGCCATAAAATGCGATTTCTCCGTGATGTGCAACGACACCTTGATCCTGTGTTGGGATGGATGGGCTTTCTTCTTCCTTGTTGCAGGAAGGGCCACTGCCAGCCACCACCTCATTACCAGCAGTTGCTTCGGTTTCCTTTCGAGAGGAGCCAGGGTTCTTCACATGAGCGCCAAAAATTCTTGGCTGCTCTAGAGTGGATGGAGTACAGGGCTGGTACTGCTGCTTGCGGAGATTATGCCACGGTTCTGTAGAATAAACCTGAGAAAACGATAACATACAAGATTAACTTGTTTGCTTACATCAACATCTAAAATTATCAGTCAGTGGTTCAGGCAAGTGGGTCCATAAGAAATTTTGTTATAAATCTTGAAATACAAACCAAGCCATTTTTGAAGATATTCAAACCATATCCTTGGCAGAAACTTGTTGAGAAAGGAAGCCTTATAGGACCATGAAGATACAGGTAAGGCCACAGCTTTTGCCAGAATAAGTATTCTAGATGAATGAAATTTCTCTTGTCCAGGCATTCATGAGTCCAGCTTGCAGCAAACAACGCCAGCGAAAGGCCCATGGATCTGACCAAAGATACTGCCTGCAATAGGAATTTCTCTTTAAAGTGTCTTGATTTTTTATCTTTTTTTAAAATACTACCACCATAAGAATTAGTTTTTCCTTTACCTTGTCAGAATCAAATCCTCCGCCACCATAACAGTTCCTTCCAAAAACATCCACACCAACATACACATCCAGGCACCTCGCACCTGCTATTTTCACAGATCGCTTTAAGTGTTTTTTTGTCCAGGTGTAATTTAGGAAGATACCGTCACAAGCATCAAAGAAGCATCTAGAAAAGGTGCAATTTTAGACATAAAAGAGGGAGGTGACACAAATACAACAAAAACGGGAAAGCAGACAAGCACCAACCTATTTTTGTCATTTAGCTCATTCTGCCAGTCCAGGCTTCCTCGACAAGTCACGCTGTCATACCAAATCACTTGGGCTTGTTTCAAACCAAGGCGCTGCAGGCTGCTGCGCAATTCAGTGACAAAGCGCACAAGCTTAGGAACATGTTCTTCAGGGACTTTGTTCTCCACATTCAAAAGGTAGCCGTCAAAGCGATAGTGACGGCAGATAGCAGCTAGCGTATCCGCAAATCTAACAACAGTAGGCAAGTCAACAAAAATCTGTTCCCACACACGAGCTCCTTCTGCGCCCTCAGTGATCAGTGTTCCTGAAACAACAAGAATAGACACAAAAGATTGTAGCCTTGTCTCTCAAGGGTGAAATGCTCAGGAAAACTCCTTTACAACGTACCCAGAACAGGCACTCCGTGAAGGTGTCCTGAATTTATCCATGAAACTGGAGGCACAGTCAGAAGATGGTGACTAAAGTAGATGAAAGTATCAATACCAGCCCAGTGGAAAAAGCGATACTCTCCATAAACCTGAGAGCCATTGACATACCTTCAGTAAGAAAGAGAAAAACATATAAGGAAAAGAAAAATGCAGACACGAAACAATTCTTAGAATTCCACAAAGGACTCGACTCGACAATACAAAATTATTAAGTTGACATGTAGTGTAAGTAGATACTCACTTGTCTTGTAAATAGCCGCCCTTCAAATCGTGACAGAAAATGGTCCTTGGTACCGACTCTCTGTGCACCCTGGGCTGCACTCCTTCGACGCAATGCACCCTGTTGCCAGGCACCACCATCGCAGACCTGGGTGACAGTGGGGTCACCAGGTTGGCCCACGGCTCCCTCTTCCACTGCCACACCTGCTCCAGGGTGGACATGGGCGAGCAGGACACCCCGTCGCCGCCATGGTACTCCCGGGGCTCTACCTCTCCCAGCGACTGCAGGTCCGAGCACAGCGAGGTGTCCATGGTGAGTGTCTCGAGCTCGCCGTCCATGTCATCCTCGCGGATGTCTGCAGCCATGCCCCTGGAGGTGGTGGTGGCAGCCTTGTTGACGTTGGAGAGCGCCCAGCGCTCAGGGCGAGGACACAAGCAAGCCGGCCTCCGCGTCCACGTCGTCCGTCAAAACGTCAAGCTTGTCGTCTGCTTCTGCCGTGTCGTGTGTTTACTTTCTTGTTGTTTTTGTTTTTGTTGGTCCTGATGCCGTCTGGCCAACCTTACTCATTTCGGTGGCACAGTTTAGCTTCAAATTAGAATAGGGTGCGCTTATTTCCTTCTTTAGTTCTTTAAAATGCCATGCGACTGGGTTCAAATTATTTTGGTTTGGTCTTTGACCGTCAAGTAAACGACATTTCACTACTGCTGTGGACGATGTTTGTGGTGGACAGCCTGGAAGCACATCCAGGCTCCCACGCCCTCTGGTGGCGAAATCTGTAACTGCATCGAGGGCGGGAGTATTTCAAACCGCGTGTCGCGCTCACTCTTTCCGTCCTGCGGGGCTCAAAGGAAATTGAAATAAACTGTAGTAACATTTTTGTGGTAAAACCATTTATTGAAGTCTTTGTTGCACAAGCGAGACATTTACACGGTTTTGCCATGACTTGAAAATAAAATATATGATATGCGAATGGAGCAAAAATAAATGCACGTTAAATGATAATGGCATCGTCAACACTGGTAGCTGAGAACAACGCACGTAAAGGTAAACTAAGGCGCTCTCATGAGCGCACCGATGTTCGACTATGGCACTCTGCGCAACCGCTACACCGGAATCGGCAGTCCTTCATCGCGTCGCGATGGCCGTGTCCGAGGCCCTGGCCGTGGCCCTGGCCCTCTTCGGCATGACCACCTTCGCCCCCAAGGCCGCCCCCAGGGCCGCCCCGATGTCCTCCCTGCCGGAGGCCCTGCTGGGCAGCACGCCGCCCGTCCCCCCGAAGAGGACGGACCGCTCAAACAGCTCGTAGTCCTTGGGGAGCTCCCCGGTGCGGTCAAACTTGTCGAGGTCCGCGTTGGCCGCGCTGGCCGCGTTGGCCGCGTTCGCCCCGGGCTCGGTGATGCTCTTGGCCACGGCCAGTAGCGACTCGACGAGGTAGTCGGACGTTTCCTCGTCGCCGTTGCCGGGCTCGGTGCAGCCTCGGATCTTGGCGTAGGGGTTGGCGGGGAGGTTGAACTTCCTCGCGGACGGGCCGGACGGGCCGGTCGCCCCCAGCTCCAACCTCTCCGACCTCTCCGACCGCGCCCTGCTCAAGTCGGAGGAGACCCTCCTGGAGACGGGGCGCGACCCGCTGCTGGAGCTGGACGACCTGGACGACCCGGACGCGCGCCGAGAGTCGCTGGACGAAGAGGCCGACGCCGCGTCGCTCGCCGTCCTGGCCTCGGCCGCCTCGGCCACCTCGGGCCTCACCCTCGAGTACCGGACGCCCTCCTGCGGGCACACCTCCCTGGGCTTCCAGACGGGCTCTGGCTCGGCTGGGACGTCCGCGACGTCCACGTCGACGGCAGCGGCAAGCGCCTTGCTCCGCGGCCGCGTCGGGGGCGACCAGTCTGCGGGCGGGCTGACGGACAGGTCCTCGTCGCACAGCTTCTGCATCAGCTCGGCGGCCTCACGCAGCGACATGTCCACGGCCACGGAGCGCGGCACCGGCGTCCGCGGCGAATCGTCGGGCCGCAGCATCGCCTGCCTGGACTGGGACTGCTTGGAGTGCTCGGGCTGCTGCTGCACCTGCGCGCACGGCAGCAGGCAGCCGCCGGCCAGTCGCAGGTCGCTGTTGGCGGAGTACCGCGGCTGCACCCTCGCCGTGCAGCTCACCTGCGCGCCCAGGTAGTTGATGGCGCCGTCCTCTTCGTCGGCCAGGGTGCGTATCGACGGCGACCTCTGCGGGGTAGCATCCTGGGCGCTCGCTGTGGCGACAAAAATGGCTCAACGGTAAACAAACTTCTCACAAGTATAGATTTAAATAAACCAGTTTAGAGTTTCGAAATGTGGCGGTAGAAATGAAGGAGACTATCGCGAGTAGGCCAGGTCGGCCGGCTCGCAGCGTGCGTGCCGGATGGGCTGCCTACCCGCAGGCGGCGACAGCTAGAGCGCTGTTGTAGGTACGTACATGCCGTGGTGCTGAGACTGCAGGTGGAGGCCGGCCGGGTGCTGGTGGAGCACAAGCTGAGCGTGAGGCTGGCGCGGCTGCTGCGGCGGTCCAGCTCGCTGGCCAGGGTGCGGGCGAGCTGGGGCTGCGCGCGGAGACGGTACTCCTGCTGGGCCAGCTCCAGGACGCTGGGGCCCACCTCCACGCCCTCGGCGCACAGCAGCGTCTGCGAAAGCGAAAGGGCTCGGGTTCAGGATTCAGCGTTGCTGCGCCGGGTGGAGCGAGCACTCAGAGCCGCCGTACTCGGGTACTCGGGTCACCCGGAGCATCGCGCCGAACAAGAGTTAGGTGCGGTAAGTTCGCGGGGTGGAGGGGGAGGCGGTACCTGCCACGCGAAAAAACGAGAGGCAGGCGGCACTAGGTATCGAGGATCTCGTCCCGACAACCGGCTTGTCTGCGGCGCGGCGCCACTCTGCCGCCTCTTTTTAGGAGGAGGATTTACTGAGGAAAGTGCGAGGTCGCAAGGCGGCATGCATAATCCAAACACCGTCGGGCTGCGCGCTACGCTACGCGGTGCTGCGTTCTATTCTTACGTTGACGACGTCGACGAAGCCGCTCTCCACCGCCACGTGCAGGGCGGTGAGGCCCTCGCGGTTGGCGGCGTTCACGGGGCAGGCCGGCGCGGCCAGCAGCAGCGACACCACCTCCTGGAAAAGAGCGGATCCACGTTAGCGGCGACCTGGGCTGGGCGGCGTGTTATCGGGGTAATCCAATCGCGAATCCAAGTTCACGGGGAGACATTGTTTGTTTGTCCGCGGCTCGCGTCCTAGCGTCTTCGGGGCGATAGGAGGTCCTCGGCAGGAGGGCGCGCCGCGCGCCGCTCGCCGCCCTGGTGCACTTGACCCGCACCCGTTGCCATGCGAGATAGTGCGCCGGCCCGTCGTGGTCGTCATCGTCGTCCTGGCCGCCAGCGAGACGGCCGTCTCCGCGGTGGACCGCGGTGGCGCGCAGTGCACTCACCTTGTAGCCGCGGCTGGCGGCGAGGTGCAGCGCCGTGTTGCCGCGCAGGTCGGTGTGGCCGGGGTCGGCGCCACTGGCCAGGGCGATCCTGACGGCGGCCGGCCGGTTGCGGCGCGCGGCCACGTGGAGGGGCGACTCGCCGTACTGCGTGCTGCGGCGCGCCACGCCCGGCCCGGACAGCAGCCGCACCACCTCGTCCTGCGCGCCATGCTCAAGGCCCTCCTTCTCCAGGAACTCCACCAGCGGCGTGTCGCCGCGCGCGTTCTGCAGCGCCGGGTCCGCCTTGGCCTCCAGCAGGATCTGGAAGCAGAGCGGAGCAGAGCACGCCGTCAGGAACTGGGAGGGGAACTCGCTCAAACTTCCTCTCCAGCGACGGCACGAGCTATCGTTGTGTTTTTACTCCAGACTGGGTGACCAGCGCGACGACGACGTGAGGTTCTCCGGTGCGTGTCGGCGCGTCTAATCACCGCCGGCATACGCAGGACTGATTCCGCTCGTCTCTCTCGCACCCGCGGGGCGTTCTACTGCAGTGCGAGAGAGACAGAGCGATGCCGCGGTGCGGTCCGGCCGGTCCAGCGGCAGTCTCATTCATTCAAAACACGCTGCTGCCGCGATTGCCGCGTAACACGTGCCGTCCAGCTGCATCGCCGAGCCGGACGGAAACAACCACGAGTGTACTTCCAATTTATGTTTCCGAGGTCTTTTGTGATGGTTTGTTCAATTTTTTTTTGACAGTGAGGTCATTTTAGAGGAAGCCTTTTCTTTACGTTTCCCTAAGTTTTTTGAATTGTTTGTTGACTGCAGGCCCCCTTTCGCGGCTCGGCCGAGTAGGGCCTCGGCATTGGCATGCGCGCGTCACGGCGAGGCTCCAAAGGGTGCCCGGCGCGCCCGGCCCGGCGTGTGCGACACGCGGTGCACTGTCCGCCATTGTCACCGCCAGACCGCGGCCAGACCGAAGCGCGCGTGCCCTGAAAAAAAAAACGTGACGCGGAATTATGGCCGTCGCGCCCCGCCCCCTCCCGCGGACTCGCGTTTACATCCAATCCGCTCCGTTTTTGCGACACACTGTCGGCTGCCTCGCGGAAGGCAAAGGCACGGCAAAGCGGAATGGCATTTGACTTTCAGATGCGGTGCCCACTGTCTGCTAAACCCTCCCCTCCGCGCCGAGTCGTCGTCGGGGTGCAGTGGCCCCGGGCCCCGGGGCTCGGGGCTTGCCTCTCCTTTCTTTCTGTTTGACCCCGCCGCCGTCGAGCTTTCGATTTCGCGCGGCCTTCGCCTCCTCGCGCCACCGGGGCCTTGGCCGCGCGCTCGATCGCGGCGAGGCGGCGGTGCACAGTGGACTTGCCAGAAGACCGGTGGAGGCGGTCAAAATCCCGGACGCGTTTTGAGCTCCAGAGTCGCTAAATGGGACTCGAGCCGAACGTGTGACCCCACCAATGGATTGCTCTCCGAACGAGGAATGGATTGCTCTCCGAACGAGGAATCCATTGGTGGGGTCACTCGTTTGGCTCCAGTCCCACTCTGGAGTTCAAAACGCGCCTGGCCGCCCACTGTGCGGTGCGATGACGTACCTGGTAGGGCTCGGCGTTGGCGCAGCCCCTGCTGGCCAGGTGGTGCAGCGCGGTGCGCCGTCGGTGGTCCTGCGCGTTGACGCCGTGCGGCTGCGCGCGCTGCGTCAGCATCCGCAGCGCCGTCAGCAGGTGCGGCTCGTCGGGGTCGGCCGCCACCAGCTTGGCCAGGGCGTGCAGGGCCGTCTGGCCGCGCAGCTTCTCGCGCACGCCGGGGTCCGCGCCCGCCGCCAGCAGCACCTCCAGCATCTGCAGCAGCAGCCGGGGGCTGCGGCGCGACGCCCGCGACACGATGCACAGCATGAGCGAGGACTGGCCGTTGACGCGGCGCGCGTCCACGCTGCAGCCCGCCGCGCACAGCGACCTGGAACAGAGCATGGGGGAGGGGCGCTGTAAGTCAAGGTGGCGTGGAGCGCGTGGAGCGCCTGCGGGGTGCGGGTTAGGCAACCCGCGCGCGTGGCGGGCTGGCCTAGCCTGGACTTCGCAGGCGGCCCGCTCGCCCAGCCGCCCAGGAACAGTGGTCACGCGGCCACGGTGCGGAGTGCGGACGTGACTGGGGCAACGGGGCGAACGGGGCGCGCGCCAGAGGCCGACGGCATCCTCCGCCGCGCCTCGCAGCCCCGCCGCCTCGCCGCCACGCCGCCAGCACAAAATGTGCATTTTCTCGCGACGACCGCCACCGCGGCGTGCCGCTGCTGGACTCTCGCTGGAGGAGGCGTCCGCCCGCCGAGGCTGGCCGTCGGCAGCCATGAGTCGCCGCTGCCTGCCGCTGCTGACTCGCGGCGTGAGGCTGGAGCATTGCCCCGGGCCGCCCCGGGCGCTCGGCGATGAGATAAAGGGACGAAAGTCCCATGCTCCCCGTCCGCGACGCGACGCGCTGGACGCGCTGCGCAAGGCCACGCGCTTCATTTCGCCTTTGGTTTTGCTCGTTAGCCACTTTGATCGGAGATGCACTCTCTGTGGCCCCGGCTGGACCACCAGGCCGTCACTGCCACTCCGTCACGGCGCGGCCGGGGTCATTGCGCTCGCTGAGGCAGTCGTCGTCGCAGATAACGCCGTCGTCGAGGCGCTCCTGATTTCGTTCGCCGCTTATGGTTCTGAACAGCGCTTTACGTCTTGCTCGCACTCGCCGTGCCGTGCCGCCCCCGAGGGTGCGAGAGAGACAGAGCGACGAGAGCGCTGTTCGGGATCGAACTGCGGCCCGTGGCGGGGCCCGTGCGCACGGCCTTCCGATATGTGGCCGTCCCGGCTTCGGCGTCGACATCGACGTCGTGCACCACTCGGCTAAACATAGCCTTCGCCTCGGCGTAGCCTTCCCTGCGCTACGCTGCCTTCCTGGTGCTGGTCAGCATCAAGTGGAGCTGGGGCCGCGATTCGCAACGCCGCAGCGCGCAGGGCGAAAAGCAGGGCGCCTCCCGGCCTCGGCGCCGCGGCGCCCCTCCCGGCCCGTCCCCGCCCGTCCGCACGTTCGCCAACCTCCCCCCGACGTGCCGACGCGCCGACGTGCCAGCGCCGCCGACGCCAACAGCATAACGGAGGCTTCGGGGCGGAAGAAAAGCAAACAAGGCCGGGTGTGGATGGGCCGGGCCGGCCGCTGGACACTGCATGCCTCACTGTGTGTGTGTGTGTGTGTGTGTGTGTGTGTGTGTGTGTGAATTATCTGGCTGCGGACAGCAAACAGACGGGGCACCAATCTGGGCCAGACGGGGTGGAGGGCGCGGAGGGAGGCGGAGACGCGCGGGCCTTTTCGGAACTGCCTGCAATGGTCCATAACTCGTTGAGGTAGCCGGCCACTGCTCCCTGGGTCCCTGGGCTCGCGCGGCGCGACGACAACTAGTGGCCGCGCGTGTCCGGGTCGTCCAGGACCGGTCCAGGATGCCGCCGGGGCGATGAAGCTCGCCGCCGGACTTCCTCCCGACGATGGCCACGACGATGTCCTCGGCCGTGTCGCGACTAACAAGGACAAATCTCCGAGCGGCCGCGGTGCAGGGGCACGGCGACGGCGGCCCGGCCACGGCCGTGCTCGGATTCGGAGTCCGGAATGGAAAATGAATAACTGGAATGGTTCCCCGTTCGTGTCGACCGCGGTGGCCGCGGTGGCGCCGGCGCGGTCACCTGCACTCGGCCCGTTCGGGAGCGGAGCGAGAGCAGAGCGCCGGGCCACGTCACAATTACAGCTTTGTGGCGCGGCGCGGCCAAAAGGCACGGCGGACTTTGGACCGTGGGCTGTTCCGTGCTCCGGCCCGGCTGGCCCGGCTGGCCCGGCTGGCCCGGCCCGAATCGCGCCGATGTGGACGGAGTACGCCGGCCCCAAGGCCGCTCGCCGGCCGCGCCGACACACAGACACACAACCGCACGCAGGCTGCATGCGCGGGGCGCGGGGCGCGCGCAAGTCCAGCGGCTCCCTATAAATAGCGAACTTTAATTCTGCTCCTCGGCAACGCTACGCTGCGGTGTAGCGCCAGCGCCACAGCCCCTGCAGAATGCAGGCTAGGCGACCCGCACGCCGCCGGTGTTCACTGACGTGCGGCGGGGTTGTTGCTGTCTCGCTCGCACCCCTGCCGGACGCCCCGCGAGTGCGAGAGAGACAGAGCGACCGTCTGGCTCGGCACTCGTGATGATGATGCTCGCGCAAAGGATGCATATCTAATCGCTTCGTACAGTGTGCAGTGCGCCGTCGGCTAGTTTGCGCGCGGCAAAGCGAGGGAGTCGAGACCGTCGAGACTCCGAGACGGAATCGGGCATCGGGAGCAGCTCGAGTAGTTTTCCCAAGACGAGCCGACTGGATTCCAGGGAGAAAAACGCGAGGATTTGCCTCACGTCAGTGTTACTTTGAAAGACTAGCGTCTCGTTCTCACCGCTTTCAATTGGCATTTTCGGTTTCACGGGTGCTTTTACTTTTCATGACGGCGTTTTTTGGAGACGGGGAATAGGAGGGGGTTCGGTTGCCTCATCGTTGAGACCTGCACATGACAGAAATCCTCGTCGCTGAATTGGATCGGATCCCCTCAAAGAAAAACGAAGAGCAAAGACAGTGGGCGTGAAAACAACGCCCCCCTGCCCCCGCCCTTCCTGTGTGCAGAGGCAGGCAGGGCGACACTGAGACGCCTGGGACGGACCGGGGCGCGGGATCGGGCGGGACGAGGACGCGATCGGAGTGACAGAGACAGTGACGGAGACGAGTCAGCCCCGCGGGGATGGGGGGCTCTGCTAAAAACGCAGGACCGAAATTGATTCGTGCGGAGCGTGTTGGGGTTCATGTGGAGGTCTCCGCGCGAACTCGGCTGCGGAAGAAAGTCGCCTGCATTTTGGCGGCGACGGGAAAGGCCGGCCGGGCCGGGCGTTGGCACCGACAGTGCAGCGCAGCCTCCCTTCTCCTTCTCCGCGGAATGTCTTGTCGGCAACGGGACCGACAACGCGGCGCTAACAATGTCCGCCCACGCCGCCCCGCCCCGCCCCGCTCTAGGCAAACAGAGGAGCCGCGCGGAGACGAAGGAGGCGCAAATATTGACGAACGCATGATGTGCACGTGCACGTCGACGCTGCGCTGAGCCTGGGACTGGCACTGGGACCATCGCGGCCATCGCGGCCCGCAATCTCGCCTCGCGGATTAGCCGCGGTGGAGGCGCACTCGGTGCAACGCGCCGCCACATCGAGTGAAACCAAAGAATTAAACGTGGGACAAGTCGGGACGGAAAACGCCCCTCGCTCCTCGAACTCGAACTAATGAATTGCAGACGAGGCACTCACCTGACGATGCCCAGGTGCCCCTGCGTCACGGCCTGCATGAGGGGCGTGTCGCCGGAGCCCGCGTAGTCCGGCTCGTCGGGGTCCGCCCCCGCGGCCAGCAGCCGGTCCACGGCGGCCTGGTCCTGCCGGAACACGGCGCAGTGCAGCGTCGTGGTCACCGGGGACGCCTCTTCGGCGGGTGATGGCGGCGGTGTCATCGCGCTCACGGTGTCTTGGAGGTCGTCGGGGCGCGGTGGTGTCGCCGGGCACCACCACAGCAGGTCCTCGCCACAGACCGAGCCGTCGTCGCGGGCGTCGTCGCGGGCGTCGTCGGCGTCCTGCAGCACGGCGTCGTCCTCCTCCGCGTCCTCCCCCTGCTCCCGCCAATCGCTACGACCGAGAACCAGCGCCATGGGCAACACGGCAACATCTGCGTGCGCGGCGTGGCGGCGGCGCAGCGCACGGCAGGGCCGCGGAGGGCCGCGGAGGGGGCGGGGCTGCGCGCCGTGGGCCGCGGGCCGCGGGCCCCGTCAGGGCAGGGCGGCGAGGTGCGCGTGCAGCCGGGCCCTCGGGGCAGGCCAGGGGCAGGCCGGCAGGCCCGCGGCAGGGAGGGGGAGGGGAGGGTGCGAGATGGACGTCTGCACCGGAGCCGCGGCGCGGTCGTCGCGGTCGTCGAGGAACGGTGCCTGTCTCTTTCTGGCGGACGTCGCGGACACCAGACGCGCGGGAGGGGGAGGGGGTGGGCTGTTTACCAGCCTCCAGGACCACTGCTCTCCGCGCCCGCACCACCGCGCCGCCGCTCCAGACGCCACGCCGGTCCAGACGGAACTGAGGCGAGGACCAAGGACCCGCCGGGCCGCGCCGGGGCCGCGCCGGGCTGCGGGTGCTGAATGGAGACGGCGTTGGTGGCGACTTGACTGCGGCCGTCTGATTGCCCCTACCAGCTTCAAGGAGCAAGTGAACGCAAGCACTGCTGGGGACTCCCCCTCCTCCCCCTTCCCGCCAGACAACCCTTTGCAACACGGAGCGCGAGGCGCGGGGCCCCCGCGGCCCCCTCCTCTTCCCAGAAACCACATGTGCGCAGCGTGCGCAGGCAGGGACTCTGCCAACGACAGGGCCGCGCGACAGTTCAGTACACTGCCATGAGACACGACCACCCGGCCCTTCACCGAGGACATGGAGCGCTTTTGGAAAGCTGCGCCATGAGTGCCCGCAGTGGCAGTGGACCCCGCAAGTGCGGTCTTCCAGCACGCCCAGCTTCCCGGCGACGCCCTTCTAAGCAGCGTCGCGGCCGTGCGCCTTCACCGCGCTCCGCGCTTCACCGCGTCCCGACGGCGCCGTGGCGCCACCGCGATGATGTGGCGACGCGATGACGGCGCAGTCGGGCTGCCGCTGGCGTGGACCACGTGGACCACGTGGACGCGTCCCGAAATAAAAGCCAACTTTCTCGCCGGTCTACTACGCTGGTTGTTGTTTCAAGTCGAATTAGCGTTCGCGACGGAGCGCCGCGGTGTCTAGCGGGCTCGCCAGCGTGGCGGTGAAGGCCGAGGCCAGGCCGAGGGGACACGCCGAGAGAGGTGGGCCGAGAGTGGGGACCACCCCGATAGCAGCATGGTAATCATTGCGGCCAGTTTCGTAGCAAAACGACTAGCTTGCGTTTTCGGGGGGGGGGAAGGAAGGGGGAAGGGCGCCCCGACGCTCCGACCCGCTGCGCTCGGCCGCACCTGCCCTCCGCTTTGGCCTGTCGCCGTCGTGCTTCGGGTCAGCATTTGAAACGGGACCCGTCCGTGCGTGGGAAGGGACGGGAATGTGTCACCACCTGAGTCAGTTTTCGATTTCGGCGCCCTATTCCAGCATTTCCGACGTTTTCGATTTGGCGGTCGTCGTCGCCGCGGCCAGCGCTCTCTGCTCGGCTAGGTGTTTTTCTTTCCGCCGATGATCGGGGTTTCGGGTTGAGTTTCTGAGAAAGCCTCGCTGTCCGGAACATGTCGCTGCCAAATGGCGCGGCCAGCGGCCAGCACACGCTGCAGGCCTGCAGGTGTGGCGGCGTCGCGTCGCTGTCTCTGTTGCACTCGCGGGGCGCTCCGACAGAGCGACGCACCGCGGCCCGTGAGGTGCCGAGTCCGACAAAGTATCGCGGTTTACCGTCAGGCCGTCAGGCCGTCAGGCCGCGAGCCTCTGATTGGCAAGTCGCACCTCGCACGGCTCGCACCTCACCAAGTCCGTGCCGCCCGTGCTCATCCGCCACTCTGCTCCGCGGGTCTGCGGATACATTTCCCGCCCGACAGTCGCAGCAGCGCTCTCTCCTCTCTCTCCCTCTCTTCCCCCGCGCGACGTGTCTCGCAGTCAACGAGACGGCTTGCCGCTTCGCCTTTTTCTTCCACCGACTGTCAATGTGTTCTCTTTTTATCGCTTGCCGCGTTGCGCCTAGCAGTGGCTGCCTCGCTGGCTCTCTTGCGCGGAGCAGCGGGGCGAGGAGGCTGTCCGGGAGACGGCGCCGTCGAGGCCCCGTAGTGCACCGTAGTGCACTGTACGTAGTGCGGCTGGACCGCGGCACCGCGGCGCATGCGCGGCCACGTGCCGCCGGGACTTCCCTGGGGCGCTGGGCGCGCTGGGCCCACACACGGCGAGAAGGGAGCCTGCACTGCAAGCCCTCCCTGTAGGCGGCTGTACGCCACGACACGACACGGCACGCCCCCGAAAACATGGCGGGTCTTGCTTTTTACGCGCGTGAGTCAATAACCGGCGCGGTGGAACGGGGGCGCTGCGGCTGCGTTTCGGCGAAGCGGTGGGCTGAGCGCGCTGGGCAGGACGGGTCAACCGCCTCGAACCTCAAACCTCAAACCTCGGACCGGTGCAGGCGGCAGGGACTTGCGCCACTGCGCCGGAAATGCTGCCTCTGCTCGTGGCGCGAGTGGCGCGGCTCTGCGCTGGCGTTTCGCGGCGTTCATGAACGCCGCAGCGCCGCGCCACGGCGCCTGCCGTGCCGCCTGGCACTACACTGGCAGCACGCGGAATTTAAGCGCTGAATCGCGTTCCTCTCGTGCGGCGGCCAGGCGGGCCCACCCTGCCTGGATGGCGCGGCTGCTTCGCGGAATCGCGGCGCTGAGGGACGCTGTCTCTGTCTATTTTGACGACCCCGCCCGGAAACAGACATCCGCGACCCGCGGGGACCATTTGGACGGCCTCAGCAAAAGCGGCGTCGTCGGCGACGGCGACGGCTCGCCGCAGCGATACAGCGATACAGCGTCAAAAGTCAAATCGACGCAAGCCATCTCGCCTCAATCGACAACGCCCATTCCTGGCGGCAGGCTGGGCGAGCCGCGAGCCGCGCGTCGAGTAGCAAGTACGCCAGACTGATTAGAGTGCTTCGGTGCTCCGTCTCTGTCGCACCTATACGTGTGGGAGACGCATGGCAGAAGGCAGCACTGCATGCAAAGTCTATCGCTCAAAACGTAATCATAATCGGCCGCCATGCCTCGCTCTTGATTGCGCAACTTGTGGAGTCCGCGGCGTCCCGAAGTCCCCCAAGTTGGCGCTGGCGGCGGCAGGTCGTCGACGCCGTGCTCGCGCAGCGCCCCAGCGCCGTATCGGCCCCGTTGGTTCATTCATTCCCTCCACGATCAAGCGGCCCGGCGGCCCGGCGGCACGCCCCGGCCTGATCTACCTCGGCCGTATCTGCTGCTCGGGCGCGGAGACGCGGACATCGAACGGTGGCGTGCTCTATCGGCCGCGGACCACGCGGATGGCGGACTGACGGATGGCGGACGGGGCGAGCCGCTGACGCCACCCTTCGCCGTCCTTCGGACCGAGCTCGTCCTCGTCGTCTGGTCATCCTCGTCATCCTCGTCCCCGCGGCCAGCCCAATTAGTCCTTCCCCCCAGCCCGCAGCCCGCGGCCTTCGAGGTGCTCGTCGACTCCTCCAAGACGAGGGGCTGCTTTATCTTATCGGCCGGACCGCCCGGCCCGGCCAGGCGACGGCGGCATGGCGGTCTGTCCGCGGTGCAGCACTGCCACGCCGCGGCGCCGCCATCGAGTGCCTCTCGCTCCACGTCACCGCGACTGCCCGATCGCGGAGGTGCAGATGAGCAGATACCGCCCACCGTTGCCGCCACACCGTCACCACAACAATCGGGGAGCTTCCCTGGTCGGCTGGCTGAAGCGCGGAGAGTCTCCTCCAGGAGACTGGTTCCGAACGGTCGCTCTGTCTCTCTCGCACACGTGCAGGACGCCCCATGAGTGCGAGAGAGACAGCGAGACAGCACCGCTCAAATGAGCCTCCAGAGGCTGGCGAGCACCGCGAGGATGGTGCCGCGTCACGCTGCGTCACTGGGCCGGTCTGCCGGTCGCGACGGACGCTTCTAGACGGCCTTGACCTCGCGGCGAGGCGAGGCAAGGCTGGCTAGCGAGCCTCATGAGACGCCCGGGCCGGCCCGGCAGCCACTATCTGGGTGTCGCCGTGTCGCTCGCTGGCGGTGCCCTTGCCGAAATTGCCTCCCAATCAATTTTTGTTCCGCCGTGAAAATGAAGTAAATTGCGAGCGACGAATCCCCTGGTTGACAGTCATTGACTGTACGGAGTGCGGAGCGGATGTAGTCTGATAGGAGCAAGCCTGGGTCCTGTCCTCTGGGGTGTCTGCATGAAGGCATTCCTTGGTCCTTTCTTCCCTACACAGTAAGGGAAAGTGAGAGCTGAGCCCCATTTTTAATTTTCCAGGCCCTACAAATCAGCCTAAGCCCTTATGCGCAATTATTTTCACATATATTGGGTACTAATTGGAACTCAGGTGATGGCTCAATATTTTTTTTGGGTGTAACAATTGGCTAACTCAGATAATGAAGCTATGATTTGCTGAACTGACCTATATATTCTTTCCCTGTAGATTTTTGTCATGATAGTTTGCAGATATGTCGGACAGAGAGAATGTTGTAGATCAAGAAAACCGAGCAGAATTATTCTATAAACAATTTTATTGATCAAAGTCATTATAGACAGTAGAAATTGTTTTCTAAAGGGATCAATAACAACATAAGTAATTAATAAAGAGAGTTCTAGTGTCATAATCAGGAACATTGTGTCTAATTGGGAGAAAGCCAAATGCCAACTGTGAGAGGGATATTACTACTCTTCTACAGTAGGATGACACAGAATCTGGGCTCCAAAAGTACACATCAAGTTAAATGATAAAAGGATAACAAATCAATAACAAAGTCATAACAGGAAATACACAATTTATTTTAACATTGCACATTGTAGAATGTAGTAAATGATTTATGCAAGTCTGACATTTCATTACTTTAAGAAAACAAAAAAGTTAAAATGGGCTTTAAAAGTGTTTCTTCTCAACCACATGTATGCTACGCTTCACCTTTTTTTTTTAAAGAAAGAAACAATAAAGGTTGCAAAGTAGGTCTTAGTGAACCAGGTACATACGTCAACATTTAAATCTTCAAAGCCTTTGTTCCTTAATAATGCATTCTACTATATACAAGTCAACTTTAACACATATTGCAAATAGGGAAGAAAATTACAAATAACTCTGTGTTTACTTAGACAAGCAAATGTGGAATGTCTTCTTTTGGTTTGGATGAGCAAATAATAGAACAATTGCAAGTACCTATGGGACTCATTATATTTCTTCTGAGAAGAAGCAATAAGAAATGCAGTACTGTATGGAAAATATTTGGAGTATTCTCCAAGCAGGTACAATAGAAATTCACACACAATATTATCTTGGTTCTTTGAACGCTAGCAGTTCTAACACCACAGACAAAATCTGCTTCACTTATTACAATAGCTTTGTTCACAACCAACCATCCTCAGTAATACAAATTCACAAGTACACAAATATGAAAGAACATATATTACTATCACAGCTCCGGAAGGAGCAATATCAAAGGCAGGAAAAGTTGGTCAAAAGTATTAGCAGCAAAACAGAATGGTCAAGTTGACATGTTTGCGGTATTCTTAAAACTGATAGATCAGGCCTGTAAGTAGCAGACCCCTCATTTGTTAAGGCTAGAATTGGGGTTTTAGTTCCTTAGGCAGTTAAGAATCGATACACGATGGTGGCCAGGATACCCAGGGTGACAGGAATCAGCCATGATTTCCATGAGCTGCAAAAAGAACACAAAAATATTTCAGTGTGTGCTCAATATTGGTAAAATAGACAACAGCAGATTTGAAACCAAAATTTACCTGGTGTCCTCTGTGTTGTTGTCTGTGCTCCAGTCCTTGGCAACGGGCTCCTTGATCTTCTTCCTTTCCGACTGCAAACAAAAACTTGAAATAAGACAAGTTTCTCAAAATAACAACACACATACGTGTAGGCAATTAAGAATATAATTGAAAACATCAAAGGATTCCAAAATAATTAAAAATAATAAAATACAAATTTTGAAACTTTTAAAAACGAGGTTAGGTCTTCACTCACCTCAACAAGTTCTCCAATTTTGTACTTGGCCATGAGCTCTCGTGCGTCTGAGGAGTGGCCGACATCTTCAAAAGGCTCAGTGGCATCCTTACCAGCTTGTTCCAAAAGAACCTCCTCACCACCAGGATGCTAAAACAAAAAAAAATCAACAACATGACCATTAGATCTTGTTATTTTTTAAATCATTTAATAGAGCAAAATAATCAGAGTCAACACTGTTATAGACGCTCAGGGTGAAAGTGGGAGACAAAAAGATTAAATCAGCAAGAACTACACTTTCGTAGTGAAACTATTACTCCAACAATTAATAAGTTAATTGTCCTTACAAAAATAATAATAAAAAATAGAAGGAAATTTTGAATTTAAAATGGCAAATTGGAAAATCTAAATAGCAACATTAGGGTCAGCTTCATTTTTGGTTTGTGTTGACCATATATACTCTATATTCAAAATTGTAATGCAACAAGTGTTTGATATTAAGGTGTTTCCTTACATAAATATGAGTCAAATGTTGACTAAGACAGAGCAATTGTGTGCTCTAGCTTAGAATTAAGCATGACATAAGCATGGACGCAGTAGAGATTTACGCGGAAGTTTTGTGAGGGGTTGGTCATGTTCAAGTGATGTAGACGACAATAAGCGTATCGCATACACAACTGCCATTGACTAGTACACTTAAATGTCTTGATTTTTAACACTGGGTTAAACAAAAATTAGAATCTTAAGACAGAAACGGATGAAACTATTACATAAGAAACTGCAATAAATTCTCCAGCTCAAGTAAACTTAATGATGATAAAAGTGGTCACCCATAGTCATCCTGCATAGGCTTGGGGTCGTGGTCCACGTTTGGCACCACAGCTCCGGCATCGCGGGGACGTGGGTCCTCGCTGGGGAATTTTCAGGCCCAAGAACTGCCAAGTACCCGACCAGCTTGGCCCTCGGCGGCAGTGGCAGCACCCCATCGCGACCACAAGAAGTGCCTACGTCAGCGCCGAGCGCCATCCATGTCATGGAGAGGTTGAGGTTACGTCGGCCGCTCCCAGTCCACTGTCCACGCAAGAACCCAAGCCGTGCTGACCGTCGTGGCGGCGCGGCTCCAAGCAGGACAAAGGCAAAACGGAACTCACTTCGTTCAAGAACTCGGTCACATCGTACACGCCGTTGTGGAGCACGATCCAGGTCTTCTTGTTGTCGTTGTGCTGGGCCACCTCGGCCGTGGTGTACAACTTGGTTGCCATGATGATGTTGGTGTTTGGAGAGGAACGCGATCAGACCGTCACTGGACGCACGGAAGACACGCACAGAGGCCGACACACACACACGCACACACACGGACACGGGCGCGACGTGGAAGTGCTAGAGGACGGGTGGCCTGCGCAGCAAAGTCGCACTCCTGTTCCTGGGGACGGTACAGCCGACACTGCTGCTAAACTTGGCAAGTCATGTCATACGCGAGAGCGAGAGGGAGACAGAATGATGGTGGGGAGAGTCAAGCAGTGGGAGTGGGAGGCTCCTCGAAGAGTGAGAGGGAGGGCCAGGGGCGCAAGGGCACGGTGGTGACGGGGAGAGGATGTCACTGGGACTGGGGCAAAGGCAAAGGCACAGGACTCGCAGGGGCGGGGGAGGGGAAGGAGGCGGGCGTGCACTCCCCCCAAGGTACTCCCCCTCCGCGCCGCCCTGAAGGTAGGCAACAGGCTCTGCAGTACAGTCCGTGACTGGCCGGCTGGCCGGACTCGAGCCGGCGTGGCCGCCTCCTTCAGACTTCAGCAGGATAGCTTGCACAATTACTCGCCGGACCGACGACAGAGGAAGCACCGAGTGACTGAGCTGAGACTGAGTAGTGGTTTGTGCCGCCATGACGAGGGTCTTTCCGAGCTTCGAGAACGTTCACAACATTCACAGTGGCGGACAGCGAACTCCCAGGAGGGCAGTGCGGCGGTGATGCAACGAGCGAGCACGAGCCGGGTGCCGGGTCACCTCATCCTGGAAATGAATGTATGTTCGTGGCACCCAGAAAAAGTATACGTACTCCTCCCTCCTTGACGACGCCGATGCGGAACCTCTTCATGAGCATCTCGGCCTCGTCGGAGTGGCCCACCTCGTCGAAGCACTCGGAGGCGTCCTTCCCCGCGACGCGGAGGTGCGCCTCCTGGCCGCCGGGGTGCTGCAACAGGGCCAGACAACAGGTCGCTAGACCAGGGCGGAAAGAAAGGGAAGGGAAAGGTCGCCATTCCTCGTCGGTCGGCGTCGGCCAGAAGCCCCGAGCACGCCGAGAAGGCCCTGCCCGCCCTGCCCCACGACGAGGCCCGCGCCCACCCCGCACGATAGGGTCCGCCAGGGAAGCCCCGCCGACAGACCCCGCGCGCTCACCTCGTAAATGAACTCCGTCACGTTGTACACATATTTGTGGATGATGAACCAGATGTCGCCCATGCGGTTGTGTAGCGCCACCTCGGCGCGCGTGTACTCGTTCATGCTGCTGACGTCGTGGACGGGGTGCCGGCAGGGCGACGGGGTCGGCGACGCACCGGGGTTCCAAAGGTGGCGGCGTTTCGAAACGCGACGACGACGAGGACGCGGTTCAGGAAGGCGGCACGGAGCGCGCCGCCAGGCTAAAGACAAAACGCGCGGCTACTGGCGACACCGGAGGTCGGCCTGCTAAACCCGCTCCACTCCGCTTCGTTTGTTATGCGTCTGCTGCAGGTGGACACAGACAGGCACGGGCAGCCCGGGCCGGCCGGCCTTCTCGGGGTCGGCGTGGCGTAGCGTGGCGACGTGAACCCCTGCGCGGGAGGCGTGCTGAAACGGCGGCCATGGCGTCACCGTCATCGTCCCTCTCATTGAAAGTCAATGCTGAGCAACAGAGACGGCAGACGGGCAGGGTATTTCGGTGTTTCCGGGGCCGCCAAGCCTAGACAAGAGAACCTCCGCTCCGCCGTGTGGCATTCCCCTGGAGTGGACAGTGGACCGGACCGCGATCCGCTGCCGTGGTGCGGTCTGCGGTTCGCGCCAGCCCCGGCCGATTCCAATCAATTGTGTAGCGTTGAAAAAAATTAAATAATTCTTGAAAAAAATTAGAAATAGAGAAAAGGTTTGTTTGTCTTCACCGTTGTCAAGCCTGCATCTTTAGTGTTGCCTTGTTCAATTCTATTCATCCAATTTCAGCATTATTTCATTCATGAGGTTCTTCAATAGTTAATAAAACAAAAATGAATAAATTTGTTGATAGTACTAAGTTTATTTTTTAAAAAATAGTTTTGTCTCTTTTACGACCAAAGATAGCTAATTAATTGGCTACTTAAATATAAAATCAGACATTTCTTGCAGTCTATCGCCAACTTGAAAATGAGCTGCCCCTGGAAAGACATTGGAAATTTAGAAAAGAATCCATGTAAAGCACTGTGTAGCATAATGTTGTTAAGCACAAGGGGAACTTACCCAAAGGAGGAGCCTGTGTTACTAAATGGAGTTGCTTGCTGAGCACTTCCGCCAAACAGACTGGTTGCTTGGGGACTCTGAGCTCCACCTTGAGCCAAGTTTCCAAAGGTGGGTCCTGAGTCTTGAGTTGCTAAAGCTTCAAATGTCGAGTTTGTTTGGGTGGGGGATGTTGACCCAAATGCTGAAAAATTGAACAGACAATGTTAAGGCCGTGTCATAAAAGCGGACCGAGTCAACACTATTTAAGATAAATGGTTGCATCTAATCTACCTGGGGCTGGTGTGGGGCTACCAAAGGCTCTGGTGGGACTTCCGAAGGCAGGGGCACCCCCGAAGGCAGGGGCACTTCCAAATGCTGGAGCAGAACCAAACGCTGGTGCGGCACCAAAGGCACTGGGAGAAGTGGTTTGGAAGCCTCCAAAGCCACCACCTAACAAAAACAAAATTCCAGTTTTATTTTAGGCCAAATAAAAAGAATTAACATTCCCTGTTAAACTACATACTCGATCTATTCTGGAAGGAAGATGCCGTACCAAAACCAGTTTGCTCTATGGTGCCACCCATGCCACCAGAGAAGGAGCCAGTAGACGGGGATGCAGGAGATTGCCCAAATACACTGCCTCCAGTGGCTCCTGTCGAGAGATAGTGCAAACAGTTAACATCCCTTGGCAGCTCACGGTAAAGAAACAGTAATGATTTTTCCAATTGTCTAACCTGCTTGCTGGAATAGGTTTCCTCCCGCCGGTGACGCAGCACCGCCTCCGAATATGCTGCTGCTGCTGGAGGAGCCGCCACCGAAGACGGAGCCGGACTGCGGGGAGCCGAACCCAGAGCTGGAAAAAGAGGGACGTGGCCTTAAAATATTGTATTCAATCACAGATCCATTCCTGACACGCAAGTTGCGCAGCACCCCACCTTTGGCCAAACAGAGAGCCCCCAGACTGGCCGAAGGAGGGCTTGGCGCCGAAGGCCGAGGGGGCGGCGCCTGCTGCGCTCTGCCCGAACAGGGGCTGCGACGGCGTGGTGGCGGTGGCGAAGCCCGCACTGGACACGGCCGCGCTTCCCCCGCCAAAGATGCCGCCGCCCGAGGACGCCGTCGAGGCAGTGGGGCTGCAGATGGCCTGGCCAAAGAAGGACGCCTGCGTCGTGGCCGTGGCCGCCTGTCCGAACAGCGAGCCGCCGCTGCCGCCGCCAAAGGCTGACGGCGCCGCCGACGCGGTGGAGGCCGGCAGGGCGAAGCTGAAGGGCTTGGGGGTGGCGGGCGTGGCCGCCGTGGTGGTGGCCGTCTCGGCGGCCGTGCTGGAGATGGATGGCAGGGCGAACGAGAAGCCAGAGCCGCCCGCTGCCGCGCCGCCGAAGATGGAGGACGTGCTGCTGGCTGCAGTCGTGCCCCCGAACAGCGACCCGCCGGAGCTGCTGGCGGTGCTGGCCACCGCGGCGGCCCCAAAGATGGACCCTGCCGAGCTCGCAGTGGGCGCCGTGCTTGCTGCCACGGCCGCGCCGCCGAAGAGGGACGCGGCGGGGCTCGCGGCGGCGCTGGAGGAGGCGGCCGCAGCAGCCACGACCTGGGAGGCGGCGGCGATGGCGGCGGCCGGAGCCGCGGCGCTGCTGGCTGGGGTGGACGTCGCCGGCGACCCGAAGAGCGACTGCCCGAATGCAGGGGTCGTGGCGGCGGGCTGGCCGAACAGCGACGCCGCGGTGCTGGGGGTCGCGGGCGCCGCGAACAAGGGCGCCGCCGCCGGAGCCGCGCTGGTCGCCGCCGTGGAGCTGGCCGGCTGAGTGGCGGTCGGAGTCGACGGGGTGCTCGATGGCGCCGCTGTGCTGGCGGACGCACTCGTTGGAGTGGCCGCAGTGCCTACAGCAGCAGAGGATGGCGGCGTCAGGGAGCCGAAGCCGAAGGCAGACGCGCTGGAAGTAGCTGAGGTGGCGGTGGCGGATCCGAACAGAGGCGCAGTGCTGGCGGGCGTGCTGGCCGGCGACGCGAGGCCGCCGAAGAGGGAGGTGGTCTTGGGCTGGAAGGTGGCGCCCGCGCCGCCGAAGATGGCAGCAGCGGGTTTGTTGGTGGCCGTCGGCGTGCCTCCCAGCCCCATGCCTCCGAAGAAGGACGTGGTGGAGTCGGCGGCAGCGGACGACGCACTGCTCGAGGGCACAGAGGCCGGGGCCGCCGACGAGGGCGCGGACGAGACCGGTGCACTGACTGGCGTGATGGTGAGGGCACCCCCGAAGAAGCTCGTCGCGGTGGTGCTGGGGGTGGGCAGCAGCCCCGGCTTGGAGGCGCTGGCCGACGGCAAGCCCGCCACCACAATGACGGGGCTGGAGGTGGAGGTGGACACTGGAGTCGTGGCAGCCGACGCCGGACTGTCCCCGGCCTTGGGGGCGGCGGGGGCGGCAGCGGCTGGCTTGGCCGCAGAGCCGAACGAGAACGCCGTGGACTGGGAGGCCGGCTTGGCGTCGAAGCCAAAGGCTTTCGGGGTGGACGTGGCGGGACCCGCTTTGTTCACCAAGTCGCTCAGGGCAGACAGGGAGTCAGTGCCCTTGACTGGTGTGGAGAAGGAGATGGGCTTGGGCGCTGCGGATCCAGCTGTGATGGACGGAGCGGCAGCGGCAAAAGGGGTCGCCGGACTTGCACTAGTCGCTGCTTGGCCAAAGGCAGCAACCGGCGCAGCGGGTTTGCTCACAGCGTTCCCTTCCGTTTTGGCAAGGTTCAGGCCGCCATCCTTTGAGGTTGGCACACTGGAGGGGCCAGTAGAAGGCACGGCAAACTTGAAACTAGAAGACATCAACCCGCCAGTTGAGACAGTTGAAACTGCTGGAGGTTGAGCGGAAACAGTGGCGCTCGGCTTCCCACTGGGGCCAGCGGTGCCAGCGCCAGGAGCAAGGCTTGATGTTGCAGGTTTTGATGTTCCCACAGGAGCTGCCCTGTTTTGACCAGCAGTCTGGGGAGTTGAGGTAATGAAACTTGAAGGTGCAGAAAATGATGGAGTCTTTGGACTTTCAGCAAACAGGCTTGTCCCAGAGGAAGCAAAGGGAGCTGCTGGTTGCGAAGTAGTTTTGCCAGTGGATGATGAGAGGGTTGGTGGAATGGAGGTGACAGATGGGGCAGTTATTAGCGAAGGGGCAGAACTCGCAGGAACAAAGCTTGAAGGAACTTTGTCAGCTTTGGATATTGGTTTTCTTGGTGACAAAGACACCACAGATGATGAGAAACTGACACTTGGTCTATTCCTGTAAAAAAAAAAGCAAAAAAGAAAACGCATAAAAATTGGAAATAGACAGAAAAAAGATGCACATGGGTAAAATTAGCTGGTAGTACCCACCCAGTGGATCCCATATCTGATGGAGTGCGGTCAACTTTGATACGGGCCATAGGGATCTGAAGAAGAATTTCACGTAATTTATCCTCCTTTTTGGCACTGAGAGGTTTTTGGGAGGAGAAGGTGGCAGGTAATTTCTTTGTATTTAGGTTGAGCGCTCTGGCTGCTAGAGCCTCCAGATCAGAATCATCAGATTTCAACTGGGACTCCAATAGATTATCAGCCAAACTTGATAGATCAATATCACTAAAACAGGAAATATAAAAAATAAAATTAATTAGTCACAAGTGAAGCTTCCTTTTTTAAATATTCATTTACCACTTCTACAAAAGACTTACGATTTAAAACTCATGGCACTGTCATTTTCTTGAAAGCTTCTAGAACTAGGATGTCTTGCTAGGGCAGAGTCATTAATCAATGGGATTCTGTTGGAATTTCGAAGCTTGCGAGCTGCAATTCTCCGAGTCACATCCTCCATAGTTATTTTCAATCTACTCAATACACCATTCTGTTTCACCATTGCCTGATAAACTTCATCCATTGTAGGCACAAACATTCGATTTCTAAACAACAACAGCAACAACAAAAGAAAAGGGATTCAATAATAGCAGCACAATTAAAAATAGTAGGTTAAAATATTTAGATCTTTGTGATAATAACCTAGGTGATCTGGTTTCCTGGTGCTGACCCCATTCAAAACTAAGTGATTTATTTATGTTGTCCAGTTGCATTTCAACATAATCAAATATCTGCTGAATGTTGAACAATGTCCTAGCACTCACAGGGTCCAATTCTTGAGCTTTAACCAACTGCAAATAACTGTTAAAAAATAAAATAAATGTTTAGGTGGTATGTTTCATAGCAACAATTTTAAAGACAAAGTTTAAAAAAAGAAAGAGATATTGACCTTGGTTTATTAAATTGCTGCAAGCGAGACTTGGCATCCTCTGCCCACAATATAGCCTCTGATCCTACAGCTTTAACCTCATTGACATCATGCCTCAGATCTTCAACACTTTTTGATAACTCCACAATAACACTCTCTAGCTCTTGTGACATTTTGATGATTTGTTTCTTTTCCTCATCAGAACCAATAGGAGGCAGTTCTTCATTGACTAATTTTTTTAACTTGCTCAAATCATTATTAAATACTCTAATCTCTTTATGGATGAGTTCAGTGTACACAGCCGGGTCAATTGTTTCGGTCTTATCCTCAGAGACATCTCCTGCAATCACAAAATATTCAGTCAACTTTCTTTGAAAGATAGCATCACAAAGAACCACATTTTCCTGCATACCTTTGGTGGGTTCGGGCTCTCTAGGACGGGATGCATTAGAGGTGGGCTTCACATTCTGAACAGGAGGCACAGGAACAACAGTTGAAGGGCGCTGGGTCGCCTCAGGCAAAACAGATTGAGGGGTAGACATTGCTGGGGAAGAGTAAGATGGTGGTGGAGTGGATGGTTGAGATGATTGAAAAGATGCAGTAGTAAAAGCACCCACTTGTGCCTTTGGGGATGACACACCTGCAAAGAGTTTGCTTAGTAAAATCGTTACAAAAATGGGCAAATAAGTTATGTTTACTACCAGGACAACGGCTGAATGCAACTTTCACTTTACCTGTGGCGATACTGGCAGGTGCTTGGGAAAAACTAAAAGCAGTTGATGCTGCTGAAGTGGCTGAACCAGACAATCCAAATGGAGATGAGGCCTGACCAGACCCCAAACCAAGGCTTCCCATTCCCAGGCCAAAGCCAGTTGGTTTAGAGCCCTGCAACAATCTGAAAGTAAAAGCATAAATTTAGGAAGAAAAACCTAAAAACAACTGACCATAGTTAAAAAATATTTTTTAGAAAAATAAAGCTGTAAACCAAATTTTACATACTGGTTGTTCATGGATGACAATTGCTGGAGAGGACTTGAAGAAACCTGGTTTTTTGACATACACAGGAAAAGACATTAGTAAAACATTATTACATAGCCCGGAAATAAAAAAGAAAAGTTAGGGAAAAGTACTAACTGGCACTTGCTGTGGAGCCTGAGACACTTGAGCAGGAGCTGGTTGAAATAAGCCAGAAGAAAGCTGTGGAGTTTGGGTGGGTTGAGAAACTTGGGGTTGAAAAAGTTGGGTCTGCTGCAAGCTAGGTTGGGATGCAGAAGGTGGAGGTGGCTGGGACACTGGTGCACCCTGTTGGGGAGGCTGGGATGGTGGTCCAGAAACAAACTGATCTAGACCACTCAAGTCTTGGAGCTGTTGAGGAGGCTCACAGACACAGGGGCCTTGTGGCAAAATATTGATTACATGGAATATGCATAAGACCCCATCATTTGACAAAATGTGAAGCATTGGCATAGGATGTAGGGTTTGGTTTTCGCCTGGAAAAACAATGAAAAAACAAAACAGTGTTTGAAAACTGACCATTTAAAAAATAAAAAATCTCCATACCCTCACATTTAAATGTTCTTCTCAGGAAAAATTCTTACCCCATGGCAGTTGATAAGTAGAACTAGTGTCCAGGGCTAATCCGACAGGATAAGTCTCCTGTTTAGAGGGAGTCAAAGGCAACTCAGCTCTTGCCGCATCTTCCTGAGTCCACTGCAGCCAAGACAAACCATCTGGTGCCATAGCCAAAACACCCACTTCCATACTATTGGCTGATGCTACAACCATTAAGTTCCATTTAGCTTGGAAGACCATATAAAATTGTGGTGGTCTCAATTCACCAGCACTATAACAAATATCTTCATAGTTCACATACGATATTCCGGCCTTCGGAACATTAACTATCATAATGCCTAAACAAAGAGGAAAAAATAAATGAAAAATAGGTTTATTTGTGCTGTACAATGAAGAAAGGAAGATAGAAAAACTTACAGGGTCTTTCTGATGGGTTCGCAGTATCAGCATAAACTGCAGCAAATTGATAATTTGAAATCCACAGTAAATTGACGAGGGCTGAGGCTGGCTTATCAGGTGGGGGCGGATAGCTCTTGACAAGTTTCAAGTCTGGCTTGTACTGCGAAATATTCCCTTTGCTGTCGCCAATGACCAACTGCTTTCCTTTGGGGCTCCAGCACAAACATCTTTAAACAGAACATTTAGATGCATTTCAGATATACAGATCACGAATGAGAGGCCACAATAATTATTTCAACTAAAATAAATTATGAAAAAATATCAATACTAACGTGCAATGCATAGCTGGAGGCAATGTACTGATGACAATGGTGCCATCTTTCATCTCATAAACTCCCACACCGCCATCAGAGGTGCATGCAGCAAGAAACTTAGGAAGCCCAGGATTAAACTGAAAGTCCAGAACTTTGCTTCCTGGTGAAGTAGCCAAACGAATATTGAAGGAAACTGTAACATTCTGCAGACATTTTACGTTAGAAATATGTACCAGAACTGTAATAATTAATGTTCTGAACAAAAATTTTCAATTTTCCATGGTGCCATTTCCAAGACCCTCTTTACTCACTCTGCTGCAAAATGTTGGCACATCATAAACAGCAGCACATGGGCAACCATCTTTCACAAAAGCAACTGCCAACTGTGTCTGGTCACAACTGACACTCAAATGCGAAGGAGCACAGCCAAGGGGGATTTCACGGTGAGGATATTCCAATGTTTCCCCTCTTGGAGCCTGAATTCCAGCAATTTTGCTAGACAGCAACACTGAGAAAGTAGAAAAATAAAATTGTATGAAGGATTTTATCAGATCATGCAATAAAACTTATCAGTTAACTACTTCACCTTGAAAACCATTAGATGTTCCAACAAAAATAAGCCCATACATGGGCGCCGCAGCAACTAAATTGGCAGAACTTGTGAATTGGCCAGGTTGGCCAGAAAAGACACGAAGGCGACATAATATTTTGAATTGAAGACCCTGGAAAAATAGTTTAAAGAATTAAAACAGGAACACACAATTCGAACGTAGCAATTTGACGATCTGTGCATGAACGGGCAGTTATAAAATTCAAAAGGAGATTCTGAGCAACTCGGTGACAGAAGAATACGAAATGTTACCCTAGATCAGTTCATAATACATCATGAAATGACTACGGGGCTAAATATGATAAGAACACCCTTTAATTGATTCAAATTTAAATCAAATTTTAAAAGTCACAAAAGACAAAACTTGACAGACTCGTTAAATCGTAAAAACCGCCTAGAGACTCAGAATGGCCAGGATACATTTTTAAAGACCTTTTAAGGTTAGGAATGTAGGAGGGAAAGTAAGATGAAGTGAGTATTCATTTTCCAGTGAATGTTCTACTTGCAAATCAAAGAGAAAATAAGGACAGGGTTAATATGGGCGTAGTAAAGTTACAGAGTAGTAAAAAAGAAAAGCTTTCAGAAATTTATTGGTAAAAATGTGGAGTTTGGGCCTTTGACCGGTGTCAGTTCATACCTGACACTCCTCTGGATTTGGAGCTTGGACAGACATGATGGATGTGATGGACGATAAAAATTCCTATTATCGCATGGAATGGAGATCGGCGAAACGATCACAAACAATTAAAATCGACAGCAGACATGAAGAAGAAGCAAGCAGCCCACTCGTATCAAAACACAGCGCCGTGTGAGCGTGCCGGCGGTCGATTCTGCGTTGCCAACTGTCAAACGAGAAATTCCGCTGTTGTTTGGCTGTCACCCAAAGAAAAAAGAGGAAAAGGGTGCGTATCTCATGGCTTTACAATAAACTAGACCGAATTACTGCATTCGGTCGTCGAAATCAACGTGATTGACAAGACCGACGGAAACGACGAAACGACTAAATTATTGGCAGGGAACGGCACTGCAGATAAGAGACGCGCCAACCATTCAAACGACGCCGGGGAACCGAACCCAACTGCCATGCCAAAGGCAACGGCAGCGTTCCGTTTGATGGGGGCGCGGAGTGGGCAGGCAGAGAAACGGACTTTGCTGAAATGAAAGCGAAAACGTCATCCTGAAAAGTAACAGCCTCGGGCGCCAAAGGACTTCCCCGCGAGTCCAGCGCGCCAGGCCGCTCAGATTGCAGAGTGCGAGCGAGACAGAGCGACGAAAGCACTGTTCCGAATCTAGTCTGCTGGTGAGCAATGCAATAAGGTGTGCCGAACTGAAATGGAGGCGGGCCGCTCGCTATCTTATCAGGCCGCGGTGGGGCGGGGCGGGGCGGGGCAGGGCGGGGCGGGGTGCTGGCGAGCCTGCTAGAATGACAGGTACGCGGATCAGTCGCGAGCGAAGGGTTTGTTGTATCGACTGCTCGCTCGCGTCGTCCACCCATCCGTCTGTCCGGCGCCGAGCCGCAGTGGTGCACTGGGTGCACCGGCCACCTGCCACTTCAACCAGGACGAGCCGGCAGTTCCATTTGGAGTGACGCCGAAAGGTGGGTACCCTTCTCGGAGCCGAGCTGCCGGACAGGGCCCTTCGCTGGGCCTGGGCCGGCCCATGGCGCATGGCGTCATCGGCCAGCCCCTGAACCGTGCGTGGTCTGGCCTAGCCTGGCCGACGGAGCATCAAGTGCGCTCTGCTTGCAGGACTTGCGGGGCTTGCAGGGCTTGCGGGGCCGCGGTAGCCGCGGTTCAGCATAGCGGGCTGCCAATGCCATCCGGTGGATGACGCCCCTGGCACACCCCTTGGCGCGGCGAATCACCACTGCTACGCCTCGCGGCGGAATGGCGCCTCGGCGGCGGGGCCCCTGCCGGCCCCTCCTGGTGGTCCAGGCCGTCGTCCTCGTGGTCCACCTCGGAGCCGCAGCGAACCTGACGACGCTTGCGGCGACGCCCGTCCCAACGAAGCCTGCTGCGACGTCCGCGCCGTCCGCGGCGGGTGAGGCGCCGGCCAAGCTGCAGGTGCTGCCCTCGGCGGCGACGTCGCCGACGCCACCCCTCGGGCGGGCAGGGCCGGCCGACCTGCAGCAGCGCCTGCAGCGCCTGCAGGAGCAGAACAGACTGTGCGCGCGGTGCGACTGCTTCGCGCTGCGCAGGGACGGGCGCAACAGCAGTGCCGCGGCGGTGCGGGTGCAGCTCGACGAGAACCTGGACGACGTGGTGGTGACCACCAGCCACCCGCGCGACGCGACGCCGGCGACGCCCCCGCGCCCCGCCGTGCGACCCACAGTGCCGCCGACGAGCCAGGTCCTCGTCATCAACTGCACGGAGCGCCTGCTGGCCGAGGACCTGCCGCGGTGGTCGTGGCCGGCGCGCCTGTCCGCCGGGGAGGTGGTGGCCGCCGAGACGTGGACCGAGTTCCGCGGCGGCGACCTGAGCGGCGTCAGCCGCCTGCCGCACCTGCCGTTCCGCCTGACGCGCCTGTCCCTGGCCGACAACCGGCTGCGCAGCGTCGCCTCGCGCGCCTTCGCCAAGCTGGAGGCGCTCCGGGACCTGGACCTCAGCCACAACGTCATCACGGGTACACGTCGCCCACATGGTCCAACAGCAACCTGAGAAACAACCCTGTTCCTGTTAACGTGAGGTCCTTGCTCGGAACTTTGCAGACGTCCCCTTCGACGCTTTCCTGGGCCTCACCGCACTGGAGCGGCTCAACCTGTCCAGGAACAGCCTCACCAGCAGGCCCCTGTCCGCAGACCTCTTCAAGCAGATGCCCAAGCTGGCCGTGGTCTCTCTCGCCCACAACAGGATAGCTGGCGAGCTCAACAGCGACACCTTGCCTTGGTGAGCGGCAGGAAAATGAAATTAGGAGTAGTAAAATTCCAGGTGTAAGATTGAAGGTGAAGATCGGAACCCTTTTTCTGGTCAGGTCTGGAAGCATTCGGCAGCTGGACTTGTCCTACAACGAGATCACCAGCGTGAGCGCGGGCGCCTGGAGATGGCTGCAGAACGTTAAGGTAATAATTGTCGTCAGTGACAGGTGTGCCGAGCCCCATACGCACAAACTAACCGCTTCACGTCCGCAGGAGCTGGATTTGTCCCACAACAAGCTGAGCTCGCTGACGCCCGACGCGTTCGCGGGGCTCAGGTCGCTGGAGCGGCTGGACTTGTCCTGGAACGCGCTCTCGTCGCTGCCGCCCGGCGCGCTGTCGGGGCTGGCCGCGCTGCGCACGCTCAGCATGGCGCACAACGCCCTGCAGGCGCCCCCCGCCGACACGTTCGGCCCAGTGCAGGCGCTCGCCGCGCTCGACCTGTCGCACAACGCCCTCAAGTAGGTCGCCTCGCCTCGTGTCTGCAGTGGGGTGAGCCACACAACTGCCACAACTTTTGCTGTCCTGTAAAACTTCCCTCCGTCCCCTCCTCCCCACCGTTAACAGGGCTCGTAAAATCAAACTTGGTCAAATTACGAACGCCTTGTTGCTACGGCCGGGGCACTAATGGTGGGGTGTCGCCTTGCAGTCCGGGGGCGTTCGCCGTGCTGGCCAAGCTGCCCGCCTCGCTGCGGTCGCTGGACCTGTCCCACAACCCGCTGGGCCTCGGCGACGGCGGCCTGGAGGGCCGTGCCGACGGCGGCGCCGCGCTGCCCTCGGCGCTGGAGGACCTGTCCCTGGCCGAGTGCGGCCTGCAGAGCCTCGAGGTGCGCGCCTGGGGCGGCCTGCACCAGCTGCGGCACCTGCAGCTGTCCGGGAACGACATCTCCGTGCTGAGCGACATGGCGCACATGTACGCGCTGGAGCGCCTCAACGTGTCGCGCAACTCGCTCACGTACTTCCCGACCGTGCGGCTGGCGGCGCTGCGCGTGCTCGACGTGTCCCACAACCAGCTGGAGCACGCGCCCGCGCCCGAGGCCCCCGCGCTGTCCGAGCTGCTGCTGGACGACAACCCCATCGAGCAGCTCCGCCTCGCGGCCGCGCCCTCGCTGGCCGTGCTGTCCGCCAGCCACATGCCCGTCCTGCGGGCCGTGCCGGCCGGCGCCGTCGTGCGCCTGTCCTCCGCGGACAGGGCCGCCAACGTCACCGCCAACGTCACCGCCACGCCGCCGCCGTGCCTGTCCGTGACCCTGCGCCACAACCCCGCCCTGGTGGACATCGGCGAGGGCGCCTTCCCCGCCAGCCTCTGCCAGGTGAGGCTCACGGCCCGGCGCATCGACTCGCCCAGGCCTGCAACACGTTCAATCATTCAAACCGCTCGATAACCTTCTGCGCCGGTCGTCCGCAATCGTGCACACAGCTGGACTTGAGCCACAACGCGCTGCGCTGGCTGCCGCCCAGGCTGGCCAACTGGACGGCGCTGCGCGTCCTCGACCTGCAGGCCAACCCCTGGGACTGCACCTGCCGCCTGCAGTGGATGCTGGACGACGTGGTGCGCCAGCTGTACCGCTCCAGCCCCGCGCTGCTCGAGGACTTGAGGTACGGGGTCTAGCCCTTAGTGGTAATGGTAATGCTGGGTGGGCCGGCCCGCACGACAGAGGCGTTCGGCGGGCTGCCTGCCCACGAGGCTGACAGCTCTATGTTTGCGTCGGTTGTGCCCGCAGGTGCGCCAGCCCGATGCCGGTCATGGGCAGGCGCCTGGTGCACTGGTTCAACCACACGGGGCGCGCGCTGTGCGACGGCGGCATCGCGGACATCCAGTCCGCCGGCGCCGTCACCCTCAAGCTGTCTCCCGCCACCCTCATCGTCATCAGCGCGCTCGGCGCGGTGCTGGTCATGCTCGTCGTCCTGGGGGTCGTCGCCCACCGCAGGGACGCGGCCAAGCGGCGCGCCAGGAACCGGCGCCTCTGAGGCTTCGGATTTGTTGCTGCCCGAAACAAGAAGGCGTTCTGTCGGCGTTCCGTCTATGCGCAGCGCCGTGGCCCGGAGCAGCATTCGCTTGGCGCACAGTGGGCCAGAACACCGGTGGAGGCGGCCAAAATTCTAGACGCGTTTTGGGCTCCAGAGTCGCTAAACCGGACTCGAACCGAACGTGTGACCTCACCAATGGGCTCCTCGTTCGGAGAGCAATCCATTGGTGGGGTCACACGTTCGGTTCGAGTCCCATTTAGCGACTCTGGAGCTCAAAACGCGTCTAGAACTTTGTCCGCCTCCACCGGTCTTCTGGCAAATCCACTGTATGGCGGTTTTGGAAAACAAGGACCGCGGCCATCCCGCACTTTTCCCATGAGAACCTGCCTAATGAATTCTAGTCTCGTGAGATTTGGTGGCCGACTCCAAAGTCCGGACCAGGACGAGTTACCGTTTGGTGTTAAGACAGATTTGATCTGGTTTGTTCCAGTTTGTAGCTTGTGCCATATAAGAAAGTGATATTTCTGTAATAAAAATTAGGATAATTATTTTTCGAAAATAAAATTTTACGTACTTAACACAAAAACATATCAGGATCATCTCTCTGATGTTTACTTGATAAACCCATACAAAATTCAGTCAAACAAATCCAAGTTAAATTCACCATTCATGCAGCACATAGACCACAAAAAAAAAAAAACACTTATCAGTTAACATTTAAAAAATCCCATTTTAAAAATCACAGAGAGGGTCGGTCAGAGCGTGTCCTAGCGGTAGTAGTGGGGCACCTCGCTCTTGATGAACTTATCCACCCCCTTGCTGATGAGTTCGTAGAACTCGTCCTCCTTGAGGTCGCTGCCCACGATGGACGGGAAGGACATGTTCATGTGGCACGCGAAGCGCTTCATGTGCGTGGCGGCGGCGGCTTTGTCGTTGCGCTCCAGGTGCAGGGACCCGAGGCGCTGGTGCAGCATCAGGCAGTCGCCCTCGAGGTCCAGGGCCCGCTCGTACCAGCGCACGGCCAGCGCCCGGTTCCTGTGCGGCTTCGGGAGCGCCCGCACGATGTCGGCCCCGCGCCACAGCAAGTACACGTTGTGGGGGTACGCCGCGATGCCCTCTCTGAAACAAAAACGAAAAGCAACTTAAATCGACGCACCGAATTGAGCCGGCAGGTCGTCATCAGCACGTCAGAAGGGTGGCGAGGGCGATTCTCCCCGCCGCCACTTTGCGCCGCGATGGCCATCAAGGTGAGGCGCGGTGGGGGTGGGGTCAGAGTGCGCCGACCTCACCCGCCCCTAAAAAAGCGTCTCAAGTCCACCGCAACACGAGTTGTTGGTTGTGCCCGGTTGTGCCCCCGGCGGCTCGAAGGGCGAAACACTGCCGCGGCACGCCACCTCCTGGCCGGCCACCTCGACCGGCTCGGCTTGCTACCCCCGCTGTCCAGAGCTACCCCGGCTGCGCGACGCAGCGCGCAAAGTGCCCCCGCGGCCTGCGCGTCGGCGGGAACGCCTCCAGGCGCCTCAAGGCCCCCACGGCGGCCAACGACAGCCTAAACGGGCGCGTGCGGCGCGGGCATCGATTTTCCCGCTGGAGGAACAAGATTGAGCTCCGCGATAGGCGCCAGTCGCAGCCAGCCCCGCCGTCGCGACCGAGGGTCGGGGAGGAGGGTCGGGGAGGGTCGGGAGCAGCGACCACCAAGGGCCGACGGCTGCGGCCAAGCAAAGTTGCCGCCACCGCCAACTGGGCTCGGCCGGGCCCTTGGCGCCCTTGGCCGGGCCCGATTCAACCCACCTGAGGAGCTCCACTGCTTTCGAGTAGTAGCCCAGGTCCTCGTTGACGCGAGCGAGGGTCAGGTACGACTCGGGGTTCCTGGCCAGCTTGTGGCCGGTCTCAGCGGCCGTCTTCTCCTCCTGCGTGCTGTGCAGCCACCTCACCCCGTCATGCTTCAGCGTCTGCCGCGAGTTGACCATCACCTTGGCCAGGATGGTGTGCCACTGTCCCTCGTTGGGGTTCATCTCGATGGCCTGCCTCGCCGCAGAAATGTTTTCTGCAAAAAGACAGTCACGTTAATGCCCCGACTGGTGAAGGGTGGCCAGTCCAGCCAGTCGAGAGCGCCCTGTGCCTACCAGGGTAGCCGGCCATGTCCGCCCGGATGGCGACGAGGGCGGACTTGAAGTGGCCGCACAAGGTGTCGAAGTGCACCATGTCGCGCCTGAGGAACGCGTCCAGGTGGCGCATCGCCGCCGGGTCGCCGCCGTGGAAGTCCCTGCAGATGTGCGCCCACGTGGCGTCCACGAGGTGCCGCAGCGCCAGCCCGTAGTCCTGCACCAGGTCGCCGTCCTCCCGGGGCCCCCAGAGGGCGGGCACGATGCGCAAGTAGGCCTCCACGATGTAGCGCCTGCTCACCGCCTCGGACCGCACTCTCTTCTCCAGGCAAAAGGCGGCGGCAAGCCTCGTTTTGATCATCACCTCGTTCCACACCATGCACAACGAGTCCTTGTCGTCGATCACCGAGAGGTAGCGCTCCAGGTCCTTGACGGGCAGCAGCGGCGTCTCCCACGTGAAGGGGCACTCCGTGGAGCGCAGCACGCGGTCCATCCTCGGCACGTCTGGACGTCAGGGCGTCAGGACACTCGACGGCGGCCGCCGTCGCCTGGACAGGACAGCGAGATAATGCGTGACGTGACATGACGCAGGCATCGAATATCGCCACCGTGGACGTTGCATTTCCGCACTGCGGCGAGCAACGGCCTCCATGGAGACATCCACAGAGCGGCGCGGACTTGCCCTCCCCCCTCTTTTTATTATCCGAAAGGAAAGGATGTTTCCTTGCGTTTTATTTGGTTGGCAGTGATTGTTGACAGTGAATGACACCACCCACGACACTACTGGGGAGGGGGAGGGGGGTAGCTCCTCTTGGGACCTCCACTGGAACCCCTAACCTCTCGCGTTCAACCCTTTCCTTTGTACTTTCGACCGCAGCTGCGCGGCTTCAAACTAGACGATCCACACGATTATACAAATATGAAGCAAATGAAGCGATCGAACAGAAGCCAGTTCTCCAGCACCGCGATGACGAATGTGGCGTCGGGTCGCCCAACTCGTTTCGCAGCTAACTTTACGAAGTTGAACCAGCGCATATCTACTTTGGACAACGGCCGCATATTTCACGGCGACGCTAACGCGCGCCGTGTTCGAATGTGAGCTCACCTTCAACTTTGGTTTTTCTCTTGGTTTTTCTCTTGAAAACACGACTTTGACTGGCGGACGAGTCAGGTTCATTGTTTTGATTGGACAGGTCAGGTACAGCATGCGAGCAACAAGTGGCGGAGTATTCTGTTGTCATTGACAGCCCTTGACGCCCCTAGTTATGAAAATAAAGTGCTCGATGTGGAAAAAGATCGGGATCGAGAAACAAACCCAACGGCGCCTCTACCGTTTATTTTTACAGTGAGGATACGTTCTGCCGGAAGTAAGGTTGGCAAACGTGCATCCCTGTCCGCGCGGGAGAAAATGAAATGGAGCTCCGGGTTGACATTCTCTTTTCAGGGCTTTGCCTTTGCCGGCTGGAAGCGACGGGCATTTCTGCAATGCCGTGCGCGTGCGCCTAATTGCGTTTGATTTCCTTTTCCTCATTCAGCCTTCAGCCGTTCCCAAAGTTTCGTGACTAATCGGTGGCGTGGACGGCGATAGGGGTCGGCCCGGCTGGCCTTCGGAAAGGGGGGGGGGGCGGGGGGGGGGTTGGTGTAGGGGGATGGCACCTGGTGCCTGGCGCCCTGCACTCGGTTCCCCCGCCCCGCCCGTCCTCTGCAATGGTGGGGCCTCCACCTGATAGATGAAACGCGGCTGGGAAATGGGGCATGGAGGCCGGCAGGGCCAGGCCAGGCCCACCTACACTGGCATTCCCCCTGGGCAGGCTGGCCCGCCGGACACGGACCCTCATCGGAGATGATTTCCTCTCGATACCCTGTATTCGTTTCCAGCCTGAGGTAGACTTTATGCTTGATGTGTGGGCACAGGTTCTCAAGGAAGAAGCTAAAATACCTTTTAGTTGGATTTCTTTTATTCAGCATATGGAACCACAAAGGCGAGACTTTTTTTTGCATTAATTTTGCAAATAGACAACATAGCATAAAATACAGTCAACATCATTCTGACATTACGTGTCATCCTCATTTGTCACCACAACAATTATTTGGCAACAGATTGTGCAGAGGTACCGTTTTATCCTTACATTTTAAGCAAATGCTTTGCATAATGAGATTTAGTAAAAACTGTGGGCGTAGGACAGGCATTCCAATTAGTGTCAGTCAGTGTCACATTCAGTCAATGTGCACTTGAGATGCAATAAAAAAGTTACACATAATTTGGCTGTGTTAGTAGTATAAAATTTCATGACAAAAATGTGCCTTAAATGATATGCTAGAAGGGACTAGGATGCACAGGGTTTTTAATTACAGCTCCTGTAAAATTCGAAGCAATGGAAACAGAGTTAGAGGATATATTGCAGGGTACAATTACATACAGCAGCACACTGATTGTCAGATTTTGCATTAATGCAACGTATTGGGAGAATCAGAGCATAACCCTGATATATCAATAGTTTGTGCGAAAATATTGTAACATGCCTCCTTCAGCATCTGCACAGCTGCAAAAAGCAGCAGTGAAAGTTTACATGTCACTCTAAAAATACACCGAGTGATAGATACACAATAAATATTTTTATATACTTCCATACCAGTGGAAGGGATGCCCACAGTTTAATTGGCTGATACCTGCACACTTATTTAACAGTTCATATAAAAGCTATTTGGAAAAGTAATAAATATTTGTACAAGCATTAACCAATAGGCAGTATCATGAATATCTCCTTAAAGTTGCATTTAAGTCAAAGCAACTTCAATTGCAGATTTAATTTTCTTCCTTCAATTTACTTCAAAGGAACACATTTAATCTGAGATCTAAACTGTATACATATGATCACTCAAAAGCTCAAGACACCAATAGTGACAGATAAAAGAGGGCTTGGCATGCAATGGTCCACAGGAGATACATGCCCCAAATCAATATATTTTCTTTAAGTGGGAGGACCTTTTGATAAGGTCATTTCACAATATTCACAGGTAAAAATTCAAAGCTCTAACAGGAAATCAAGAAACATGGCACATATACTTGTGACTTGCTCGATTCCTTGTCTCAATTTTTTTTTATAAGTCTTTCGTCCTATAACTATAAAAGAAGACTTTGCAGTACACATCTGAGACAAAAATGCTCAAGCACTCTACAGACTACAAAATATCTAATGGAAGAAACGCATAACGAATTAAAAATAAAATGACAAATAAAATTAACAGTGAAGTCTCAGAACAAACTAAGCCAATGAATGGGTGCAAACCAAATTTCTCCATAACACAATAAAATGGAAGTTTTCTACAGAATATAATAAAAATAAGAGGGTACACACCAAAAAACTCACATTGGAAAAGCACAAAAGATATGAATAAATTGAGAATTTTAATTTTGGCAAAATGAATTGATTGAACAAATCATAATTTAAATATTTCAAGCATTATACCAAAATCACACAACCACAACAGGAAGATTTAGTGAATTATCCGCCTCACAATGTGGAACACATAGGACCACAGCATTACAAAAATGCCATAAGATCTGTCAAGTTTAAGCTAACTGGAAGAGCTCAGAAGATTTTTTTAAGTAAAAACAAAGTACCTTATGAATTTCAAGTAGCTCAGTTGAACCTTAATGTAACAATAAAAAATGTAAAATGAACAGAGCGCACAGCTGCGTCACAACATTATTTTTAAAAATAAACTTTCTAGCATATTATCTGTAATAATACTGTGCCAGATAAGTAAAAGAAACCAATGGCAGGTATAGCCCTGGGTCAAATCTCTTGAATAATTCAGTTCGTACAAATTATTTAAACATAAAACAAGAAAGACTAGACAGATTTTGAAACATGGTCATACTGATTGGGAGCCTTTTACCAAAAACCTCCAGAGGATCTTCCGCCAGGCGGATTGTGAACACGAATGCCTGAGCGCTTTGAAGTGTCACCAACCTCACTACTAATGGAGAAGCTGGAGCCCTGCAAATTACGCTGCCCTTCCTGGCGTGCTCCTTTCCCAGTAGGGGTGTTTGTCTGGTCAGAAAAGACGGTAATGGGGCTTGGACTGATTGGAGCAGCATCTCCATTGCTGCCATTGACATGCAGTTGAGAAACCTGATCGGCTGTTTCAGTGATCAGATCTGGCAAAGGAGCATAGTTGGCCTTTTCAGCTTCCGTAGCAAGAGAGTCATATACTGTAGGGGGATAGAGCGGGGTCGGGTTGAAACGACCATGTCCCTGCACAACCTTCAGCTCACCATCATCCACACAAACTCTACCACTCACAATGACATATTCAGGCACGCCATGACACTCCATCCCCTCAAAAATATTAATGTCAGTTGCCTGATGATGAGTTTTAGCAGAGATAACTCGTGTTTTGTTTGGGTTCCAAATGACAATGTCAGCATCTGAACCAAGGCCAATAGCACCCTTGGATGGGTACAAATTGAAAATTTTAGCAGCATTGGTGCTAGTAATTTCCACAAAACGAGGTGGCGTTATCTTTCCAGACTGCACACCTTTCTCCCACACTACTGACATGCGATCCTCAACACCATTGACACCATTTGGAATTTTACTGAAGTCGTTCTGGCCAACAGCCTTTTGCTTGGAAGAGAAAGTGCAGTTGTCACTGCCAGTAACTTGAAGCCCGTCTGAAGCCAAAAGATCCATGAGCCGTTCTTTGGTTGCTGGATCAGAACGAAGAGGAGGGCTCATGATGTGAGCCGCAGCAAGGCCATAGTTGGAACTGCAGCAGGGACGACCATCTGTGCCTAGACCTGCGGCAAGTGCCTCTCCATAGACAGGCCATCCTTGCTCCCTATACTTCGATATAACATCTCCTGCCTCTTTGCTCATAACATGAACAACATACAGAGGACAGTTGACTTGCTTAGCGATAACACAAGCACGGTTGGTGGCTTCAGCTTCCACCTCCTCAGGTCGGGATTGCTCGTGACCCTCAGGGCCCTTTACACCTTTCGACAGAAGCTTTTTCGAATTTTCAACAATGATATCCCCATTTTCAGCATGTACCATTGCCACAGCTCCCAGTTGCCTACATGTCTCAAACATCTTGTAAAGCTCATCATCACGAATCATCAAGTCATCTTTGTATGCCATGAATGCTTTAAAAGAATTGACGCCCCTCTCTTTACACAAAATCTCCATTTCCTGCTTTACTTTATCAGACCACCATGTAATACCACAGTGGAGAGCATAGTCACAGCAAACCTTGTCATCTGCCATTAGACGATATTTATCATACTGCTCTAGGAGTGACTCTTTCTTTTTCGGGATAGCAAAATCTATAATCATTGTAGTACCTCCAGAAATAGCAGCCTTTGTACCCTGATAAAAATCATCAGCTGAGGTTTGACCCATGAACTCAAATGAAAAATGAACATGAGGGTCAATACCTCCGGGAAGAAGGTACCTTCCCCTTGCATCAATCACACGGGTGCCCCCAGGAATGATGAGATTGGTGCCGATTTGTTTGATGATTCCATCTTCCACAAAGACGTCTCCATCTTGCATTCCAGTAGCATTCACAATCTTGCCATTCTTGATAAGAAGACGGTTTTGTGAGCTCTGAAGGTGAATGGGAACCTTCTTCACTGGTGCTGCCATTTTCCGTCTGAAAAAGAAAAAAACAGGAACAAATAAGATTTATTTTTTTTATAAAGTATAATTCACAAAGTCCCATTCCCCAGGTCATTGACACGTTCTGTAGTACGGATCTCAGAAAAAAAAACCATTAAAATTATCAGAAACAGTGGTTTTTTAACTGTCACTGAGAAAAAGAAGAAAGTAAAATAAATAATTCATTGCCATGAGACTATGCTGAGACTTTTAAACACGAGAAAAAATGGTTAACCAAATGAGGAGGAACAAAAAAAATAATGTCACATCAGAGATAACAGCTATCACATCTGAAACATGCTGATCCGGTAGCAAAGTGGAATTGCACTTAACAGAATATGACCAACAGTGATAAGAAAGAAGACTGGCCTCTACTGTCACAAACACATCAGCCCAAGGGAACTTGAAAAGATAATTCAAAAACAAAGTAACGGCAGACTAAAAATAACAAAAATTACACTCTTGGCATTCCATAATTTTTTTTTCCACCGGCACCGAATTTTTAAAAGTTCACCACAACACCCACCTAGCCATTCCCCTAGCCATAGCAGCAAGCTGCTTTCCTGAGCGGACACCAAAAAGACCCGTACCCCTCCGAGTCACACTGAGCACTGAGGGCGGCGGCCAACCACCGCGCCCACCCCGGTCCGGCGCGTCCCGGTCCGGCCGGCCAGCCCCCACACCTGCAGCGCCCGGCGCAGCACCCGGCGCATCCAGGATGCAGGGGCAAGGAGCACAATGCACGCCGCGAGATTAATGAATGGACAGTGATCCTGCAGAACTGGGGAACTGGGGCGGGAGAGAGCCAAAACACTGTCGATACCGAAACACGGCAATGAGCGAAAACGGCGAAACGCGGCGCCGACAACCTGGCCTGGCCCGCTCCTTGTGTTGCGCCCGGTTACCTTAGTTAATTGCCTTAATGATGAATGTGCAGAATGCAACTGCAGATGCAACAGAACGCCGGCGAGCAGCGAGCCCAGTGGGGCGTGTTACTGCGCTGGCAGGCCAGGCAGGCAGGCCAGGTAGGCAGGCCAGGTAGGCCAGGCAGGCCTAGCGTTGCGTAGCGGGCCGTGCTGTACTTGCCTGGGCCGCGAGGAACACCTGTCTCAACTTTCGTCGTCCGCTGCCGAAGGGACGGGTACGACTGTGGGCGTTGGGCCGTTGGGCCGAACGAGCAGCCTACGCCCCGCGCCGCCCCGCGGCCCCGCCGTCGCGCCCAAGCAAGCGCCGAGCGCCCAGCCCACAGCGGATGCCCGCGGGCCGCGCGGGGAAGGCGAAGCGGGGAAGGCGAAGCGGGGCGGGGCGGGGAAGGCAGGCAGGGTGCAGGGCGCCCCCCGCGGGTGGAGGAGAGCCGCAGAGCGCGAAGCCGCGGGGTGCCGCGGGGTTCCGTCCGCGGGGGTCTCTGCGGGGCGCCCCCTTTCCCCCTTAAGGCCCCTCCCCCTTCGCCCCGCCGGTCCCCCCTCCCATTATCCCGCTACACATCCGGTGCGAGGCGCGAAGCGGCTCATCAGGATGCATGAACGGTCCCCGACTGCAGGGAGCTGGCTGGGAGCTGAGCTGGGAGTCGCCGCGGTCTGTGCCGCACGTACTTCACTTCCCGACTCGCGGCGCTGGCGCGCTGGCGCTGCTGAGCTAAGCTGCCCGGCCCCGGCCGCTGCATCCTCCTCGCTCCTCTCCTCTCGTGTTCGCGTCTCTCTTCATCGTCCCCGGCGAGCCTTTACGACCCACGCCCACGCCGGTACAGGCACCCGTACTCACCGGGTATTTTTGCTGGCCCGGCGACCGCGGAAGGGTTCAAGGGTGTTGCCTCGCCGCGAAAATTGCGGCAACTAGACGCTCGGCGGCCTTTATTTGCAAATCCCGATCAACCACTGCGTTTTCGTTTTCGCTCGATAACTGGGTGGGCGGGCAACACAACGGCGACGAAGGGTGCGTCGGAGCGAGCTGCAGGAGAGCGAGAAGGCGGCACTCACGCAAAAATCTTGTCTGGGACTTCCCTTCTGTGAGCAGAAAGTAGCCTCGGTTTGTCAGGGTTTTGCACCGAAAGCGCTGTTTCGGGTGTTCCTCGCATGACAGCAGTTGGCACTACAAACCTCGGTCGGTTGTTTCGCTACCAACCTGGCACTGTAAACGGGCCTGTGATTAGACTTCCTCCACTTGTCTTTCTCTCGAAACGGTGAATAATTAAGATCAAAGCTAACAGGAAATTTTAACCTTAGCACAATTACTGTGACGTGCAGCAGTTTCTAGAAGGTATCAGACCAACAGTGAGCTTCCCGTAGCGTATTATTTTTCATACTATGTGGTTTGGCGAAAGGCGTTCCTTTCGAACGTGTTTTTGTTTTTGTTGACATTTCATTTCGGCTGGTACTTTTTGCTTACGTAAGTTTGTTGGTTGTCAACCAAAGGCTGCCGCTGTCGACACGTTGGGAAAAGAAACCAGAGCGATGGGTGGCTGTTGTTCTTCGTGCTTTCCTTCTGGCTCACAAGAAGAACTACTGTCCCCTGATTTGGTGAGTGATAAGGACGATTCCCTGCTGAGGCCCATAACCTTTTTCACTAATGTCAAAACGATTGTTTTGAAGATACTTTACGTGTTCATTTATTTCATAGATTATTTTCTCAATAGAATCGTTCGAAAGCCAATAGAATCGATGCATGTCGTGTTTATCTGGCCAGGCCTAAACTTGGCTAGCTTTCAGTCTTCCGTGCAACAATATTCTCCTTAAATTTCACTTGAATTTTGAACATGTTCTAGTACTATCGAAATGTTTCTATGGGCCCTATGTTGGTAAAGGCGGACAACTTCTCTAGTAAATGAATTGTTACAGGAAACAAGAAGACGCCAACTTGCTGAGGCTGCTGAGAATCGGGCTAAACAGAATGAATCGAGAGGTTTGGCAAACCCTGAGAGAGTTCAGAGAAAAATTGAGCAAGCCAGAGCTAAAGAAGATAAAATGGACAAGTACAGCAGCCAATCTGGCTCCCCAGCTCTTAAGGTATGGTACTTTGACGTATAATGTTAAAAGTACATTAGGCAATCTTTATTAAATCTGGTCACTCTCTTTTTATTTCAGTGGCAAGCCAATTAATGATTCTTTTACAAACTTTGAAATTACTTACAAGTGGTAAGTGCATTCAAGTTGTTATCTTTGTTCAGTGTCTTGATTCTGTTGATTAATTGTTTGTCTCTTTCTAGCCTTCATCTATGGGAACATTAAATGAAAGAAGGGAATGAAACAGTATTTTCCTTGAATTTTAAGAGTATTTTAGTCATGAAGGTTCTGTTCATGACACATTTTTTGTGTTAAAACAGCATGCTTTTAAAGTGAATTTTGTGATCAGAGGTTCCGAATACTGAGGTACTTCTCTGAAATGTGTGTTGCTTGTCAATATCTTCGATGCATGCTTGCGCTATCAGTGGAAAAAGAATGGACATGCCACCTCCCTCCCTATCAGAGACTCTCAATGCTGGCCTCTTGTACTACCATTTCTAAGTGGGGGTGTGGTATGGACATCATCTGGTCTTTTTCCCACTGATGGGACACCACACTGCATGTGGAGATGCCATGGTTGTCACCTCGCGTGTACACGTTATTTTATGAATAATTGAGACGAAACTTTTTATGTCCAAAGATTGTTTAATTTAAATTATAGAACTTATCTATGGAGTCAGTGTACAATTTTATATTATTTGTTATTATATTTGCACTAAAAAAAAACTATCAGATCTTTTTTCTTTAATCTCTCATACCTACATTTTTTGATTTGGTTTTTCTCACAAAGGATTATCTCCTTTCTTCTGACCAGTTCTCAACCAACTGGTATGTGTCTTCATTCAAAGAATGAACAAGCTCTTGGGCCTGCCAATTCCCATCCAGCTGCTCTTCTGTAAAAGGGTCGGGAGTCTGGATTTCTAAGCGCTCCACATCATTTGGAATAACAAGCCTGGAAGAAAAATTTTATTAGAGTAATTATGAAACAAAAACTCATTGATGTTGATCAGCGAGTATAGACCATACCGAAATGAATGGAGGTACATCCTGGGTGGAGACAAGTCAGAGCGATTGCTGTAGGTGTAATCCCCTATGATTGTGTGTCCAATGTGGGAGCAATGAACTCTCAATTGATGCCTTCTGCCAGTGTAGAGCCTCAAGAGCACCTTGGTTCCTGGGTCTCCATTATACAAGCCCCTTTCAAGTACGAGTAACCTAGTGTGAGATTGCTTTGGCTCGACGCAGTGCGGTCCTTCAACACACATCCGATTACTTGTACCAATTCCATGCTCTCTATCATCTTTCCCTAAGTATCAAAAGAATTCATTTTCATTTAACATCAGAAGCAGGTCAAATTAGAAATTTCGATTATGAAAGGACTCAAATGAAAAAGGCATACCTATTGGATTGTATATGTCCATCAAATTTTCTTTCACATGTCCTCGTACCAGTGCCAAGTAGTATTTAATCGTCTGCTGATTCACAAATGCCCTGCTAGCAGCAGCACAAGCAGCTTTATTCAGAGCAACACACAGTGCACCACTACATGAATAATCAAGGCGATGTACGAAGTAAAATGAATGAAATAGTTTGGGGTTGATAAGCATGGGAAACGTGTTGCAAAGCTTGGAGGCAACGGTATCCTGAAGTAAAATTAGAAACAACATAATTAGTAATAAATTTCAAGCCTTCACTTAAAATCCAGAGATTTTAATGACATGTTTCATGCGTGACTACCATTTTTTCAGGGTCATTGCTGTTAATGAGACAGTCGCAGTCCTTGTTAACGACAATAAAATTTCCACTTCTGTGCAGAACATCTAAGAGTGTGTGCCCCATTTCAAAATAATTCGAGTAACCAGACTAGAGGTTGCTAACTAAGTATCACATTAAAATTTTATACACTAGAAGCACGAAGCCTTTCGTCTCCAGCTGCTCCAAATAAAACTATAATTACATTAACCACAAATGAGTGCTCAGAATGAGCACAATAGACGTCAATCAATATGTTGGTGAGCGTGACACCCCATAGTTCAACTAACAGAAGATTTAAAACTGGTATTACTGCGTAGGGTCGTCATTTTCACATGCTATTCTAACTTATTTTTTTCAGTCAATCAAAGTTTTCGTCCGAATTTTGTGGCGTTTCACGGAGTGCACGACGTAAACAAGTGGAAAGAAAAGTGGGGAGGAAAGGGGAAAAACAATTGAAACTGTAAGAAATCACGTGACCAACACATCGGCTTGAAGCCAACTATCAATCATGCTAAAATCACCATGAAAGGAACGCACGTAGCGTCCAAATGTGCAAATAAATCAGTTCACGACGCAATATCACTGGCATTGTGTTTCAGGCTCAGAAATAATCCCGGCCTGACGTGAACAGCGAGACAAACCGGTGTTCTTCACACTTGAGGTTTCCTGCACTGCGTTCGGGCCGCGCGGCGGGGAAGTCAAGCTACGGCAGGGGTGGGTCCAGAAGGGTTGCACCTCGGTTGCACTCCGCGACGACATCAACGAGAAGCCCACGACCACGCCCACGTAGTGCCGCGCCGCGCCGCGGACAAGCCGCGGACGCAAACACCGACAGACTGGGCGCGTTGTGCACTCACTCCATGTGGCTCCAGCGCGCCGGGTAGGCAGGCAGCCCATTCGACACGGCGCGGGGGCTGCGTGACCGCGGCGTGCTGGCTGCCCGGCTGCGACCACGACGACGTGCAGCTCGCCATGCCGTGCGTTTGTTGCATCAGGCTGCGCGGCCAGTGCACCAGCACGTAGACTGTTGTTGTTGTGGGCCGGCTGGGCGGCCGCCGCGCGGGTCCAGACTTGTGGCGGTGCCAGGAGGTGCTAGCTGTGGCGGCCGGCGTGCCAGAGGCGGGCCGTGCAGGTCACCGAGTGCCCCGCGGTGCCCTGACTCTGACTCATCGGCTGTCATGCCTGGGGATGGTGCGCGGTGAGCGGCGCCGGGCACATCGGGGTGCGACAGTGCGACGCGGTGCGAGGCTCGTTGCGTAAGGGTGGCGCAACAGCACGCGGGTCGCACGCTGCACTGCAGGCCGACGAGCGGCAAAGACGCAAAATGCGCGCTGCGCGGGCCGGACGGGCTGGACGGGCCGGACAACAACACGGCACGGTCAACGCCTCGTCCACGTCCACGCCGTTCGGCGTCAAGTTCAAGTTCGACTTTGGAAAGCAGACACTGGGCGGTGGGCAGTCGGTCACCCTCTTCAGACAAACACGCGAACTGAGCTCCATCTTCACCGGAACCTGACGACGCACCACACGGTGGCGAAGCACGCCACGGAGAACAGGAAGATGATGACGAAGTAGTAGTACTGGGGGCTCCTGGCGAGGTGCGCCACCCGGGTGACGGCCTTGTGCAGCACGCCGTCCGTCCTGTCCAGGTCGTCGTCGAGGTGGCCCAGCAGGCTGTTCTGGTAGCGCACCTCGGCGCCGATCTCGATGGACAGCGAGCGGAGCAGGCGCACCCTGTCCTGCAGCTTGGCGGCCAGCGCCTGGTTCTCCTCCTCCTGCAGGTTGCGGCACAGGTAGCGGATCGGGTGCGACTGCCGGGGGTCGGCCGACACCGGCCCCGTGTACGCCACCTTCTTGTAGGTGCCCATCGCGCGCCGGGCCTTCGGTCCTTCCTTCCGGTGGTCGTCGGCCGCGCCTCCCGGTGCCGTTCTCCGCGTGCTCCACGCGCCGCCCCCGAGTCCGGCGAGCAGGTCCGCGACGGCTGTCCCCTCGTTCCTCGCGATCCTCGTGCTGGCGGAGCAATGCGGCGAGGCGGGCGAGGCCAAGCGAGGCGACGGGATGGCCGGCTTCCGAGTGCCTCGTGCTCGCCGTGACCCCGGCAGTGCTCTAAGACGCTTCGCACGCTTCGCGCTTCGCGAGCTTGGACACTGGTGCCCTCCCTGCCCTGCCCTGACCGCCCCGGGGCCGCCTTATCGGGAACAGAGAGAAAACCAGAGCAGAAGTGCGCGGGGCCGTGCAGCATGGACATGGACCCCTGGCACGCCTGGAGGGCGTCGTGAGCAGCAGCCCCTCGCTCCCTCGTCAAACGGCTCAGAATGCAGCCTCTGAAATTTACGTCCGAAATATCCGGGGTGCCAAGAGGCCAGCCCCCCTGGAGCAAAGCTATACATATTCTAGTCAACGGGTAGAAGCCGCGCCCTCGTTGAGATTGGGGCACTTGTACTTTCGCCGCAGTGGCGCGTGCCGCTTGCGTGCCGCCTGCGTCACAGGCGCCTCACGCGCCACACTTGCGGCCCTTGCGGCGCCAAGCCGCGCCGCGCCAAGCCGAGTCCGAGGCCTTCCGCGGCCTTCCGATCCGAAACGCTCTCGGGGCCAAAGACCCCGCCTTCGCCTGCCTTGCCTGCCACCGCCGCGGTTCAACGCTCCCCAAGTGCGAGATTGCCTTTCCCAATCCGTCTCTGGCAGGCCCATTCCGAATTCTGCTTTCGATCGCGGTCTCCCTCACACTCACGGGGCGTTCCGTAGGGGTGCGAGAGAGACAGAGCGACGAAGCACTGTCCGGGACCGCGCAACCACCAGCGCAGCTGTTGGCACTTCCCTGTGACGCGGGGCGATGCCGTAAGATTGGCCAATGCAGGGGGACGTCCAGCACCCACCAAAATCAACCGATGGGTGTCTGTGGCCCGCGTCACGCGTCCGCTACCTAACCGCCACCGTGCTCTATCTGTCTCTCTCACACACTCTTATCCCCGGTTGTCGTCCTCGTCGCTGCCTCGATAACGCTCCAAGCGCTCCCATGTGAATGATGCTAAGGTCGGGGCGACGGGCGACGGTCGTTCGCTGCACCATGACGCAACGCGCGCTCCAGATGTCGCCCCACCGCGTCACGCCAGTGCAAAAATGACATCGGGTTCCAGATCAACAGCTGAATGGCAATGTCCTGCTGTGGTGAATGGCTGGTTCACTTTTAGGCTGTGACTCAGGCGTTCGGATCAACCGAATTTTCCCGGAATACATTTCGCCGCCGAGACAAGGTCAAAGAGTACGTTCCCCCACGCCCGGCAAGGCGGTCAGAACCCTGGCCGCATTCTTGCGACCACTCTGCATGAGGCACTGAAGTTAGTTTAGTCGCGAATGGTCAGGGAAAACTGCCACTGAGTAACTGTCATGAATTATTGATGGATTAAGATCATATCATGATCGCGCCAAAGTCGAAAATTCAGCCCTTTTAAAGCATTCTAGTGGTCGTCTCGCGCGACTGTACGTCGACCGAGAGATCCCCCGGCCAACAGGAAACCCCGACGCTTCGAGCGAGAATGAGAAAGATCGTGTCGTCATTCTCTCTCAAACATGGCGGCGTAAATAATGTTCTGTTGTACTTGCGTGTCCGAGTTTGCGAAAATGTCTGAATTCAAGCTGTTTTCTTCCTCCTGCATTGAGAAATCTGATAGTTGCTGTCATCGCCTTTCCATTGGATATATTTTGAGTGGTGATCTTTGTGTCAGAGACGATTCTTCTGTGCCTGAAACCAACCCCGTCCGGATAAGGAAGAAAATCGGACCCCCGCGCGCCGTTTTGGGAACAGCTGCTGAAATTGGATTAATCCATTGTTGTGCTGCCTCAAGAGGGATCGAAGAGTTTTATTAGAGTGAACTTGTGAACAATGTTACCTGCTAGAGGAAACTCCTACGAGGCCATGAACACGAAGCTTTGTCTGTTTAGTGAAATCATCACAATGGTACCTTGGCCCTTGAAGAAAGATTTTTAAACAAGTGTCTTCAGTGTCACTTTTCTGAAATGGCGCTACCAATGGGCTTGTGTCCTGACAGCAAGAGGAGTTTAAATTTCTGCTTGCTTAAGAAGAATCAAAATACTACAATGTTGGACAAAAGTGGAGGTTGTGCAGTTTTCTCCACTTCAAGTCCCTGCTCACCCGCTGATATTGGGCTCAGCAAGACATCAAAATTCCCTGCGTGTTTGCCTCAGCCGTCATTCCATACGAGGACTTTATTGACAAATTCTTTTATAGTAGGTGGATTCCTTGGAAGTAAGAGTCAAGGACGATCAACCAATAGTCCCCTAAGTGTTTTGGATATTATTCCAGATTTATTTAGCGTTGCTGAGTGTTTGCATAATTTCCAGCATTGTAATTTTAGCTCAGTTTCATCTCCTCCCAAAAAGAAATTTGCTAAAGGGGAAAGCCTTTCTAATTTAGCATTGATTAATACTTATGAATTTCCTGTGATTGAAGACAAGACCTGTGAAGAAAGTAGAGTAGACAGCTCGAAGCAATCGTATGCTGAAGTAGCCAAAGCTGCCACTGGCAAACCAAGTGTATCCGAAAGCAGCAAGGGATCTAAAGGCTTGGCAGACGCTTGCTCAAAGCAGAACACACCTAGATCTGGTTCAAGAAAGGACTGCGCTAGACGCCGCTCCGACACCGCAGATCACCGAAGCAGTAGAAGAAAGTCCAACAAGCGGGAACGAAGCGAGAGTTCATCTTCAAGAAAATTGTTTCCTGGCAGCATACCATCACCATCCACAGAGTCTCAACTAGAACCCTTCAAAGATCTTCGATTGTGTCAGCAGGAAAAACATTTCAGCCAACTCCAAAGTGCTGCCAGTAATAGAAATTCTAGGAAATCAGAAAGACATTTTAGTTCTTCAACCAATCCTAATAAAAGAGATCGTTTGCACAGTGACCAAATAGAGGGTAAACACCGTCCCAAGAGGCGATCAAACTATCGCACCCATTGTGATAACAAGCGTGGTAACCGTGCTAAGAATTTTGACTGTGATATTGATAAAATTAACTGGAGAACTGGTGAACCTATTTCTGGCAAAATGGGTCCTCAAAATGATTATGTGAATGGTGAAGATTATTTGGCTGACCAATCGTGCAACAACAGCTGCACCAGTGAACAATCTAACGAAGTTTGCACAGGAGAACCAAGGAAGCCTGATTTAATGTCAGAAATCTCCTGGCATGAGCTCCCAAGTGCATCTCCTAGATGCCGACGTCGCAGTCTATCTGAATGTTCTGTTGGCAGTGAAGACAGTTTCATTGTCTTCCAGTCTGGAGGAGCACCTTCTGACTCCCTTTCTGACCAGGGCAGTGATTGGAGTGACTGTGATTCTGATGACTCGTTTGAAAGCGATTCTGAAATGTCAGATGAGGTAGTTACATTTTACATTTGTGTTACTTTCTGGCTGTACTTTATTTTATATCTTAAAGATAATAATGCATTTATTTCGATTTTTGTGGTTTTCAGGATGATATGTGCGATGGACTGTATACTTCTGCATCAAGGCTCAAAGAAGTCAATGACCATTGGCAAAGAGAATATGAAGCTATTAAGGATCCTGCACAGAGTATCAGTGGCAAAAAGGTATGTTTTTAAAATAATTCATCAAATTGATGGTCTCAAGTGAAATGTGTCTTCTTTTAACATTTGTGATATGCTTCCAGGTTTGCTTCAGTACTTCCAAACCGACTATTCATCGAATGCTTGCGTGGGACTTCGCTTACCGTATGTCACGGCCTGGACCCTGGGAAGCAATGGGTCGGGATCGTGAGCGCTTCAGGGCCCGGATTCGTCAATATGAGGCAATTTTATCTCCAGTGTTGACTTCTGAGCACAGAAATAAAATCTGGAATAGGTTTCACTCCTAATGCTATGTACCAATATTCATTTGAAGTGGTTAAAAAGATGGTTGTTTAAATTTTGGTGAATTATTTTGTCAATGGGGTATTCTGCTGAATTCTGAAACAGAAGTTATAAAGAACTAAAGAAGCCGTCAAACTACTTCTGCACTTGTGCAGAAGTTGTTTGGAATGGGTCAATACAATTTTATGCAATTTGAGGACTTTTTTCATTCCTCTTCCTTCCACTGTAGAATTCAGCAGAACACCCGATTACCAATAAACAATCGTTTTCAATAGTCTCTCTGCAAACTTGGTCTTGAAATGTGATTCCATGTCATGTACAATCTTATGCATTTTGTGTTAAGGAATCATTGTGAATGTGATGAAACTTAAATTCTGTCAACAGCAATATTTTCTTTTAGATGCTGAATATTTTTACTAGTCTAATTTTGTGTGTCTTCTTTTTTCTGGTAAAATTAAGTTATTTGTGTTATGTGCTCAGCCCATCTTATTTTTCCTCATTATTCCATGGCCTAGTGCTTAAAATTTAAGTGTTGCTTTTACTTTTCCAAATAATTATAAATTTGTTATCACAAAAAACATTTTATTTCCAAACACCTTGGTTTCTTTACCTCGACATTATTTTGATCAAGCACCCATGAATGTCAAATCCCAAAATGATAAATGTTGCACAATATGTTCTAAGGAGTGCCCTCACTTTCTATATTTGTGTTTGGGTGTTGGGCTCTTTTCATGATGATTTTGAAACCAAATGAATGATGTTTGGACCTGGATGCACACAAGTTGGTTGGATTTTATCTTGTGTTAAGTGAAGGTGACTTACTTCAATAATAGTAGGTTGCATCTCTAGTACCATATAATCTCTTAGCACATAGTTACCAGATCATCTTGATAGTCCAGTACTACCAAATTTCAAAAGGGGACTTATGTGGGTTTCTTCTTAATTGTTGTGCTATGCACTGCTTATCTATCTTTGTTTTATTTTGATAGTTTGTGCATTTAACTATCATGTAAAAAATGAGTCATTTAAACAAAATTAAAATTTTTCTCCTTGTTGGGAAGTATTTGGTTTGCCTTTATGTCCTTTCTAAGCAGCATGTGAAGCAATTTGCATTGGAACTTTGTTTTATGGGTTACTATTAGCTTTAGAGTTATTGAGCTTTCACTGAAGTAATTCTTATAAATTGCTTATGCCTGGATTACGTTTTGTGTCCTTACATTTGTGATTCTTCAGTAATGTAATCCACAAACATAATATTATTTGTAACTGCTGTGCAGAAATATAATATATACAATAATAATATATGTACCTGTTTTATTATGTGTCACGGAAAATGGGAATCTTTTAATCTCAATAAAGAGTGTGTTCCTAATGTACATCTCTCTATAATAATTGGCCTTTACCATCAGGCACAGTGAGACGAGGAAGGGAGTTTGATTCACAATCTTAGTCATGCGTGAGAGCGCGCGCTTATGAAACAGTCTTGCACAGGAGAGAGAGAGAGAGAGAGACACGAGTGCTACTAGTGCCCAACCGCAGGGCCCGAACCGGCATAAGATCAGTTGTGGTCTAGCCTTTCAAGTCATGTCAAGCAGCGGTAGGCGCCTGCGAGGTAGGCTACCCAGCGTGCTGGGCAACACGATGGGCGCGTGGCCTGCCGGGCGCTGCTCGCGCATGTTGCCAGTCTGCCTTTTTCTCGCAGCGTCATGGTCCTGGCAGGACTGGTGAGTCAGTCAGTCAGGCAGAGCCACTCGGGACGCGCTCGCAGAGTACCGGCCGGTGCCGGTGGCGCAACTGCACAGTGCACAGCCTAGCATCCTTATCTAGCAATCAGTTCATTTTCTTGAGTGTGGGCGGGTGCGGGTGGGGTGTGAGGAGGAATGAGGGGTTGGAATAGCAGTCCGGTCATGCCCGCCGCGAGGTAGTTGAACATAGAAATTAGCAGCGGTCGGGGGAATACCCCACGGCCCTGGCGTGTCCGTCGATTCAGTCCACTCCTCGCGGTTGGCGCGCCGCTCCGCTTGGGCGACACCGAGACAGGATCGCTCGCTACTCTACTCCTATCCGAACCCGCTCCCCGTCGGGCTTGGAGGAGGACAGCCTTGCCTGCGGCCTGGCCTGAGTGACCTGGCCGAGGGGAACAGCGAAGCGAACCGTCGACCAGGGTTCTGGAACCTTCTTCGGGGCTGGTAGACTGGCACCACTGGCACGGCGCCGCGCCGGCGGGAACCGGGATACGACCCGGTTGGGGCGGTCCGGTTCAAGTGGCAGTGGTGGCGGCGTGGCGGCGCACCGCGGCCGGCCGGTACGGGCTACGGGTGGTGCGGCGTTGGGGGGTCATGTCACGCCCCGCCACGCCCCGCCACGCCTCACCTCGACGCGACGCCGACGGCGTGATCCAAATGGACGATAAAACGCGTCTAATCGACCACATCTCATCGCGGGGCCGAATAAAACTAAGTGCAGAGTGCAGTCGCCTCGCCTTCCCTCGCCCTGCAGCGGCATGGCCTGGCGTTTCGCCACTGCGGCTGGAGGACGCACCGCGCCGCGTCGGCCCCGGTCCCCGGTCGGCCCCCAGCTGGGCCGGGTCATCGGTGCAGCTCGGAGAGCTCGGAGCACTGCGGAGCTGCGGAGCGCAGCGAGACGGCGGCGGGGGCGGCGACGCGATCAGTCGAATCCTCCCCGCGTCACTGAGTGCACCGAGTCACTGCCGTCACTCCGCGTCGCCAGCCACGGCGCCACGGCCTCGGGGAAAGCGGGGATGTGACGGGCTGCAGACAGGGCGACGAAACGACTCGACTCTTCTGAATCGCTCAGCAGGCTTCTTGTCGCGGACTCTTGCGCCGCACCTTGGCCACAGAAAGGAACTTTTCTCTAAGGGCGCCGCGGCCCTGCTAATCGCGTGCACCATCGTCCCTCGCCGCGTCCTGCGTCGTGGCCCGCACGTCCTGCCGGCCGCCTGGATGGCAATCCTTGACTCCCCCGCCCGGCCAGACTCCTCGGCCTTGGACGGCAAGGAGTCGGTGCGCTGCGACAAGGCATGGGCAAGGCGACGATGCTTTTTGATCGCGGTCCCGGTCCGGCGGGCCCGGCACCCGGCGTCGCGCAGCCGAGTCCGCACTGCAGGGAAGGACGGAAGGCTCAGCGCGGCAGGCCCCTCCACCTCCACGAGTGAAAGAAAGGGGTGGCCGACGTGGCTTGCGCAATGCGCCAACGCGGAGACCCAAACGCACTGCGGCCCGGCCCGGCCCGGGTCACCGCCGTCACCGCGAGGCACTGCTTGGGCAGGACGCGGCGGCCTCCAGACGGTGCCGCAGCAGGCTGGTTCCGAACTGCGCTTTCGTCGCGCGCTCTCACCCTCTCTCTCGCACTTGTGGGGGCGCTCGAAAGGGGTGCGAGAGAGACAGGACGAAGCGGTGTTCTGAATGGCTTTGCAGCTGAGTTATGGCGTCGTCGGGGTTGACGCCGTCCTGCCCGCGCTGCCCCGCCCCGCCCCACCCCGCGCCCCGCGGCCGCCTGGCCACCGACAAACCCCGCCGGTTTTTGCGGGCCGCAAGGTTAGTTCAGGATTCAGGAGGGCCCTTTTGCTTTCCATTCCCCCTTCCCCTTTGGAGTACGCATCCTCGAGTTTCCTGTAGGTCCGCGCCGTCCACGACGAAGCTCCCCGACGAAGCTCCCCGAGGCCCCTCCCCCCGCCACTTTGCAAGCGAGTCCCCCTGCCCGTCCAAGTCGAAGGTATAGGCCCGTTTCTTCTTCTTCTTTGCACCTTATTTTTTCGAGGGCGGTGATGCAACAGGATGGGACGGAGAGACTCGCCGCCGTGCCGCCCTGCCGCCCGCGTCAGGAACCCGCCGACCCGGGCTGGGGCTGGGGCCGTGCTGGGGCTTGCCGAACAATATAATGCATTCTGCGATCGGCGAAAGTCGTAAAATTGCAACTGACAATGCTGTGCGTCTGTCTCTGCGCCCGCGCCCCTCCCGACGCGAGACCCGCTGTGCCCGCCATGTGGGTCAAGGGAAGAGTCCGATACAGGACGGCGTGCGCTGCGGCGTGCAATGATGCGTCGTCTCTGTCTGCGACCTGCGACGTCTGCGATGAATAAGTGGGGCCCACACGCACGCACGCGGCTGCTTGTACGCCCGCCTGGCTGACGCCGTCCTCCTCGCCGTCCTCCTCGCCGTCCTCCTCGCCGAGCCGAGCGGCCCGGAGCGCCCCGGGCGCGCCTCTGCTTCCGAACTTCCGAGCCCCGAGCGCGGCGGCAGAGCGGACGCGACGATCCACTAAATCCCCAATCCGGTGAAGGTCGTGCGGCGCGGCCGAACCTCGTATTAACGCCCCCCGTCCCAGAGCCCCAGGTAAACACGACGCCGTAAAACAGCACCTGTTGCTCGCCAGATGCCTCGCCGCTTATCAGTCCCTGTAGCGCAGAGGATAGCGCGTCGGACTTCTAATCCGAAGGTCGCGGGTTCGATCCCCGCCAGGGATGCCTCTTTTTGCAGGTGACCCCGCGAGGTGCGCGCTGTTTCAGCTGCCTGGAGTCTGTACCCTCGCCGTCATCCGCCTCCGCGCAGTTTGTCGATCCGCCGCGTCTGCCGCGTCCGCCCTGCCGGTGGCTGCCTGGATGCTGGATCCACTCCCAGTCTCTCTCCGCCGAAGTCCAAGTCCAAGCCGAAGCGCGCAATGGAGCATTGACGCGGAAGCGCGGCCCTGAATGGCTGACTGCCGAAGCTGCCCGCCGTGCCGCTCTCCAGGCCGCTCTGCAGGCCGGCGCTGTGCCGTTCGGACATTTGCCCGCTATCCGGTTCCGGTGCGTTGCTGTTCCGGTCCACCGGAGAGGCGGCAAAACGGAAATCGAACCGAACTTTGGCATCGGCCACAGTCACTCTCACCTCCCCGCTGGCAGGCACTGCTGTTGGCGCCGGCGCCTCTTTCCCGCTCTTTTTGTTCGCACTGGAACTGGAGAACTGGAACTGGCCGCCGCGAGAAGCGCGCACTGCGCCACTCGCAGTCACTCCAGCGACAGATGCAAATGCGTCGGCGCGCTGCTCGTTTGCGGACACCATTTTTCTCGCCTCGCTGCCCGTCGCTGCCTTCTTCTCCTTCCGGTGAGGTGTCCTAGGCGGCGTCCTGAGGCGCGGCGCGGGGCGCGGCGGGGCTCGCCAAGTGTACGTAAAAGTGACGAGGATAACCACGCGGCCACGCCAGGCGTACCAAGGCGGGTGCCAGGCGGGTAACGAGTAGACCAAGGCGCCATAAATCCATCACAGTAATGATCTGTTACCGCGTTACCACCCAACGGAGTAGCCCTCGGCCCCCAGACTCTCCAGGTCGTTCCAGGCGTCGTTCCAGGCGTCCTGTCCCTGTCGTCCTGCTCGGCCGTGGTCCAGGAGGAATTTACTTCCTTCTCTTTCCTGTGTCCCAGACGGCGCTTCGGATTTCTAATCCAAATGTCGCGAGTTCGATCCCCACCAGGTGTACTGACTCATTTTTACACCACGGCGTCGACGTTGCGAGCCCGGCCCTGCGGGCTCCGTAACCATGGGAAAAAAAGATGCGGCGAAAAAGATCCCCGCGGGAACAAAAAAACGAGGTAGAGTTACTCGGGCCGGGCGGCACGCGGCACGCTCCATGACACGGTGTGTTGACTCTGTGACTGTCGCAGATTTCCGCGGTCAGTCCCACCGCCACGCCGCGCCGGGCCAGGCCGGGCCATGGAGCCATGGTGCCGCGGTGGTCCTATCGCGACGCCTATCGCCGCGGTAACCATGGCGACCACGGGGCACAAAAGGACGGACTCGAGAGGGGTCCAGTCGTTTTCCGGGTTGGCGCGTGTCAACGTCCGCGCCTCCGAGGTACCCGTCCACCGCGACCTAGAAACGGCTCGAGAAAAAAAATTGATATCTCGTGAAATGCAGGGGAAGGAGGAGGGGCTTGGTGTCCGCGTCCACCGCCACGCCGCCGAGCCAGACGTAAAGTTTTATGGCGACCTACCTAACCCAACAAACAACTTGACGTGACATATTTTCCGATTCCGCGGGCGCGGGCGGCAACAACCAACAACCGGTGCCCGCCCCGCGCCGCCCCGCTGGACGGTGTGGACGGTGTGGACGGTGTGGACGGTGTGGACTCTGGCCGGGGCAGCCCTGAAACGCACCGCGCGTGCAACGCAGTGCGACGCAGTGCGACGAGCCAACAAGCCCTGCAGGTCCTTCGGCCGTCCACATCCCTTACGTAAGGACCGCCCCGGCCGCCCGCCGCTCATACGCTCCGACGGACGGCAACCGGTTAACCGGTTCAACGCG